GTCTGGGCCGGGGATCGAACCCGCAGACTCCCTGTATAACTTAATGTAATGATTGGATCTTTACGTTCCAGGACTCAATCTTAATGGTTTGAGGGGGTGACCCTTGAAATGCTAATTAATTAGCACAGATACTTTACGTTACAAAATCAGATGACAAACATAATACTTTTTCTGAATTAACCCTTTATCTACTGACGGTACTTATAAGTACCAATAACTTTAAACTAATAATTACTTTAAACTAACTAATTAAAACTGTACTTTTAAGTACCACCTTAATAAATTAGTTCTAACGAAATAAATTTCGCACCGGGGAGATTTTCTTTCTTGTATATTCTTTAGTTATCAATATGGTAGCTAAAAAAAAATATATTTATGAAAAAATTTTCAGTAGTTCATAATATAATGCCGTAGATAAAGGGTTAACATGACTTTTTTTTTTATGGATTTGTATTTCTGACCCTCTAAATATAGTGGGTGCCACAATATGGGAAATATGGTCCCCATAGCTTGGTCAGAAGAGCGGTCCAAAGTTTGCACCACTTGTTGCTAAATTTATTTTTTTTGCATATTTTGCCTATCTCAAGAATTTTTTTAAGCAAATTGAAAAAATTTTGCACACAATTATAAAATTAGTTTTCCAAGAATAATTCTATGCAAAATATAACGTTTTTTAAATTTATTACTTTTTATTATTTCATTTAACAATGGTCGAAAAATTTTGAATCCCAAGGTATATAATTTCTTATACCATTTTAAAGAAAATACGAAATTTGAGCAAAATCAATCGAATAGTTCCTGAGGAATTGAAGTGTAGAATTTCGGCTTCTTTGAAATTTGATTTTTCAGAAAGTATTTGATCGATTTTGCATTTTACCACGTAAAATTGCTTTCTTTCAAATGATGTAAAAAGTTTTAAAAATTGCAATTCAAAATCTTTTTAATTATTATAAAAAAAGTCATAAAAAATAACAAACATTTATAGAAATCTATTCTTTGCATTGAATTGTACTTGGGGAAACGAATTTTATAACTGCGTGCAGAAATATTTCAATTCGCTTTAAAAGTTCTTAAGATATGGCGAATAAAAATAAAATTAAGGGGTCCACACTTTGAACCTCTCTCCTGATCAAACTATGGGGACCATACTTCCCAGATTGCGGCTACCCCCCATATCGCAGGGGTCACAAATCTGAATCCACCGAAAAAAGAGGTATATTTATTCAGAAAAATTATGTTTTTGTGTCTGATTTAGTAACTAATTAGTAACTGCATTAATTAGTTTATAGTTAATTAGTTTTAGTCTGCATTAATAAGATTGAATCCTAGAACATGAAGATCCAATAACTAGACCAAAAGTTACTCAGTGTAGACTTTTTTTTATTTTGCGCACAGCACATAAATTTTCTACATTTATTTTTCTTATTACTCTTTTCTTTTCACTCTTTCCATTCTGAAGTGCCTTACCTCTTCGCACCTAACGGGACACATACGTCCCAAGCAAATTTCAAAAAAGTCTTTTGGGATAGAAACCCTTCCCTGTCTAATGGGAGACTTTCCCACCAGTCCTGCCAATATTTTTGAAGGTATTTTCATTCACAGAACATAGATGGCGCTACCGTACGTAATGCTGCCCTACTCATATTTTATGCTACCAAAATTTTTTGGTTGTAAAAAGCAAGGTGGCACTTGAATTGTGGCAGGCTTTTCTTCCCCTAGATGCATAAAGGGAATCAACCATAGAAGTCAGGTGGCTTCTTAAGAACACTGTGATATCGGAGATTATCAATAAAATAAAGTTCTGTTGTGGAACTAAAAAGAATTTTCCCTCAGTATGTAGTCAATAACTTAGATTTTTATTAGCTAAAATTTATACTTGCTTTTTTTATTACATTTGAATATTGCTCAAAACATAAATTAAATTTTCATTACATCATATCATCGAACGAATGAATTTTCGATTTTAAATTTAAATGAATTAAATTTCAAATGAGGTGGCCATCTACTTTCCCTTGCAATTTTATGAAAACATTGCAATCATTTTGAAATAACAGTAGGACTGACAAGAATTGGTGGTTTAAAAAAATAAGTAGAATGAGATTTTGATCACAATTTTTCTACAAAAACTATTCAAAATGTGCCATGATTATATGATAATTTTGAGTCACTCTTAGAACTGGAGTGCATAAGACTTAATAAATAAGAATTGCTGCTACTGCTGTTTGAAGATTGTGTGTTCTTCAGAATGCTCAGAATTTGAAATTATGACACTGTCATCGCTTAGAACCCAGTAGAACAGAATAGATTTTTTTTATGGCAATCTAGTGCTAGTTACATGAGGAAAATTACCTTTACAAAGGAAGAAGCCAATATAGTGGGTCTTCCCTCAGCCACTACCTTATTATTTCGATCTTCAAATAAGAGAAAAGAATGAATTGCAAATTTGGTTGCTTTATCTTTTTGTATAAATAGTTGTTTTAATGGCCTTTTTAATTGCCAATGGCAGCCCTGCGCTACAGTACATGATTAGGCAAAAAAAAACTGTAGTTGTTTACGTTTTATTAGTTGCAAAATAATTGTAACAAAATGGAATCTTCCATTCTTATTTAAATTATAGAGTTAAATTCCATTCTTATTTAAATTTGCAGGTATGAATCTGAGAAATTTCTTAAGCTTGGGTGCATACCTTCAAAAAGTGGTTTCTTGAGGCTATTTTTAAGAAGTATTTCAATTAGTATGAAAGAATAGAAGTAGAGCTGCATTTATATTTTGTTGGAAACAACTGCCTTATAACATCAAAACCTGTTATATCGATTTCTGTCTTAAAACGTACAAATTGTTATTATTATAGAGCTTTGTTTTTTATATCAGGAAAAGGAGAAAATAAATCACTAATATACAAGCAATCATATCTGTTGCATAAGCAGATGACAATTAGTTTGACAATTTTGATTAATTGGCATGCAAATATCAGTCCAAAAAATAAAGAGGAAAAAAAAGAAAGAAAATAACCAATGAAAATATGGATGGTAGCTCAAAGCACAAGCAAAAAAAAATAAATGATCAGAATGTGAATAAACATTCCCGACAAATTTGCTTGAGCAAAATAATCTAATTAATATGACTATAATGAATCGCGACATGGAGAAGGGCGTATGAAAAATTAGTAGTATTAACAGCATATTTGTTTGTTTCATACTAACACATTTTTTTCTCTATAAAAATTGGAGATATTAAACTAGGGCAAAAGGATTTTTATGAAGATCAAATTTAGAAGCTTAAATACATTTTTAATAATATAATCATTTGTGATAATATAATAAATAGAATATTTTTAAATTTATTAAAAAAAATTACAACTTAAACAATATAATATATATGCAAAAAAAAGAACATTAATAACATAAAGAGACAGAAAAATCTCGATATTGACCTTTCAACCATTACCACCCGCCCTTTTACCTGGACCTGGAGTGATGACGTTTATTTTTGGAATTTGTCCTTTCGGAGTCTGAACTAGAATGAGAAGATTTTGAGGAGCGAGATGAGCTACTCGAAGACCTTGACCGGGAAGAGTCAGAGCTAGATGATGCAGAAGAATGTGAACGTGATTCTGACTTTTTATCATTTTTGGAAGTTTTTTCATCCTCTTCATCGTCTCCCCACCCAGAGAGGTCGTACTTTGAAAGATCACCGTCTTCATCATCCTCGTCATCTTCCTCCTCTTCCTGTAAAAATACAAATAAACAAGGTTGAACTTTCTTTTTTAAATCCTAAAATCCTTCTCTAAAAAAATTTTAGATATTCATCACAATAAACACAGAAGAAATATGGAACTATTGAATGCATTAATACACTTTTGAATACAAATATATATATGTATATGACAGAAGTTTACTACTGAAGTATTTCTAGAATTACTTGACTGACTTTTATGCTTTGTACCATAAAAATTATTATGCTTTAATTGAATACAACTTTATTCCTTAATTCACTATTTTAATTAATGCAGATTCTAAATTTTGATTTTTATAGGAAAATAAATTACTCTGAAATAATGTTTACATGCAATATATTCCTACAGCTCTTAAACTAGGGGTGCACAACCTTTTTGAGTGAAGGGCCACTTACACAGCAGGTAGATTAACGAAGGGTTGCACGCATATTAAATCATGGTAGCGGCAAATATGATACTTTTTATATAAATATTAGTGTTCTAAGCACTTAATATTTTTATCAGTAAGCTTAATAACATATTTGAAAAAAATTAAATGCTTTTTATTATTTGAATTTTTAAAAAAAAACTGATACTTTTTTCAAGAAACTTTTTCCATTTTTCACAATAATTAATTTATTAAATATATATAGATATACATAAATATTAGGGGAGATAAATTCTAACCAAAAAGAAGCTTACAGAATGAAAGAGCAAAAGATATATGCATTTTAGAGTAATATAAATTTGAATTAATTATTTTAATTTAAGAAAATTTATAATGTTTAAACAAAAACCAAATTAAAAGAAATTTTTTGTTGCGTACAGAAGTTCCCGCGGGCCACACATAAACAGTCAGTGGGCCGCAATTGGCTCGCAGGCCGTGCACCCCTATCCTAAACTAATTAATATCTATGTCAAACAGTTTTGGGAAAGAAAAATATATGCTGTAAGAGAAACAAATGGGGAAAATTTAACCTTTTGAAAATTTGAAAGTCTGTTGTTTTATACTGTTGACGTCATATTATTTTTTAAAAATTTACTGTAGCCAATCAAGTTTTTTCATTTGAACAAACAATACAATTTTGGCCAATGATAGTTAACTAGCAACAAACATATTTTATTCAAAAGACAGAGTTTAGAAAAAAAAATGTTCTTGCACCTATTTGTTTTTCCAGACAAAAAGTGAATAAAGAAATAAAACCAATGTTCCCTTTGTAATTTAACAAAAAACTTCTGTATAGAGGAGAAATTTTTATCCAATCTTGTACAGATATAAACTGTATATACTCTACTTATACTCTGTTGCATGTTTAGAAAAAACCATTATCCCAATGGAGAGAGCTTCTTTGCATCTAAGTGTACGTCAAATTGATGCTAAGCTTCCAGTGCAAACATATATCAACAGCGTTAACTCTTAAAACAGTGTTCAAAACCCTCTTTTAGCTTGCTTTTTTAAATTGTGTGAAATGAGGGAAACAAAACTTATTAAATAATCAATTGACAAGTAATAAGAATTAATAAAAATGATATCGAAAACTCTCAATAAATATATGCCATTCTATTCAAAATTAAAGAAACTGATGAAAGAATAAATATTGTTTCTTCTGAGTAAGAATTCTTTATCTCTCATTTGATTTATTAAAGGCATGTTAGCATAGGACATGCCCTTTTTTATGGCCCAATTAAATCCATTGCTCTTGTAACGTCATGTATTTGTTTCTTTTTCCAGAACGAATGTTCTTATTTATCGAAATATGTATCGCCAAGAAAGAATAAAATTTCTGTATGACGTGTTCAAGTTTGAAAAGTTTTTATATTGGTTTTAAAACATATTTGTATAATTTGACAGCAAAATAAAACAGAACTATATGCAGACGCAGATGATTACTTGAATCCTATACCGCAATAATCTTCTCTTAACTTGCAACAAAGTATAGTAGTTCATTTGTCTTAGCATGCAGAATTTNTGATGTGAAAAAATTATTATTTTCCTCAAAATTTTTAAAAAAAAAAAAAAAAAAAAAAAAAAAAAAAAAACAGAATTTTTTTATGTAAATAAATTTGCTTTGTTTTTTTCTGCTCTGCAAAGTATAGACAATATCTTGTTTAGTATCAACAAAAATAACTTTGAAACCTGCAATATCAACAATAAGTTTTACAGTAAAACTACTCATTTTTTTTTTTTTTTTTTNTTTTTTTTTTTTTTTTTAGAGTACTATAAATATGAAACACTGCTTGATTCGTGAGTATTAGTTATCTATATTATACAATAGAATTAATGAGTAAATATAAATAATCAGATTTTTATCAAAATTTAAAAACACTAAGAGGGTTTGTCCTCTGCACACTCCTCTCACCGAACCTCCTGATGTCCCTTCATTTTTTTTTCCTTAAAAGTTAATTTTTTTTAAAAAAAAATTCCTTTAATTTAAAAAAAAATTTTGTTATTATAATTATAAAGCATTATAACACTGTAATTAAAATAATTTTGTTAGAATGTTAATTGTAACAAAATGATTATCCCTGGAAAGATCTAATTGCTTTCCTCTTTTTTTTTTCACTTTATTTGATCATTTTTATTACTTTTGACATCAAATTAAGTACAAATGTTAAAATAAAATTGTCGAGAGAGATAAATTTCCCAACAATATTAGATAAATAATCATTACTTTAAAAAAAAAACACTTAAGACTGCAATATTTTTCAAACAAATTGAATTTTGTAAGATTATCTCATATAGAGACTCAGACTCGTATAATTGAAAAAGCCTCTTTCACAGCACATAAGATTTGAACTCTGTAGTTGCATTTCAGTAGGCAGTAGATCACCCATAAAAGGATTTTTTATTTTTTAAAAATACAAGTTTAAAAGCTAATAGTTCTTGAATTAAAAATTGAATTTTAAATATTTTTATTCCCTCGGGCTCTTTGTATATTTTTCAACAAAACTTTGCAATTTCAAATTACTAAGTCTTGCAGATTTTGCTCAGCAAAGCAAAATAAATAAATAAAAATTTACAAAAAAAAGCACTCAAAAATGCAAACTTACAAACAAATGGGAATTTCAAAAAAAAAAGAAAAAAAAAAGAAAATAGATCATGTTCATAAACAAAATTGACCTTTTCAGTAGGTCAAATTTCAACTTTGTAGTTGCATTGTTGCATCTTATAGAGAGGCCCACATGGTATTTATTCCACCAAATTAAACAGTAAATAATTCTCAATCTAATAGTTGAAAATTAGTTTTTATTTCATCAAACTCCTGGTATGTTTTTCTATACACTTTTGTAAGTTCAAGATTTGTGCAGCAAAAAGCTCAGTTGTACACCCAAAATGAGGGCCACTATGCTTTTTAAGAACAGAGATAAAAAATAAAAAAAATTTAGATTTTTAAAATGCATTTTTAATTCAAAATGTTTTTTTTTGTTTTTTACTTAATGATACAAGAGAACAAGCATTTGTTCCAGCTTTTTCTTTTGAAAAAATTTCTTTTTCACTTTATTGTTACTACAAATATAAGCAAAAAAGATAAAAATCATATCATGTATTTTAAGTAAGAAAAATGATTAACTTTTTAACACTAAAATTCATTTGATGCATATACTTCGAATCAAATAAACATAAATTACAACTGTAGGAAGAGATTTCCTCATAAATACAAATCAACAGAAAAATTTACCTCTAGTGTTATTTTTACTTCTTTTTCTTTTACTTCATTTATATGAGGTTTTGTTTTAATAGGTTTCTCATCATTCCCACGATATTTTTTCTTTTTGCGTCCAAACTAAATAAAAGAATAAAGCAGCTTGAGTAACAGAAATAAACTGAGAAAAACATTAATAAACTAAATTCAATTACGAAAGTAATTTGAAAAGCAAGGTTCAATATCTTGAAATCAAAGATTTTTTCTAAGAAATATTTATTTAATTCCTTACATGTTTCTCTATTTCTCTACCAAATTTTTCATGTTTGTTTAAATATTTGACATAACTTTCTTCTATATGCCAAAATCATAAAGAAGACAGTTGTCTGTGAGAATAACCACTGTTTCTTTCATTTAGCATATATAGCAGAAGCACTTGCCACTGGAAAATTCCTTAAGCTAACAAAACAAGTGAAAATCACACATCTGAACTGCACAGTGAGTGATCAATATGTTCCAATCTAAAAGATCAGATTAGATTTGGGATGTGAGATTGTATGTTTAGAAATTACATGAGAAATTGCTATATAATTAGAAACCGATTAGAAACGTAAACAATTTTTAATACTAGTTTAATTTTAGTCTTGCATCAGAAACAAAATAAAATTAGATAATTTTGCATTTTAAATTAACACCACCAATAGCAAGAGGTGTACATTTCTCAAATAGTGTTCTATAACAAATTGATCACTTTTTCATATACAGTCCCAGCAGCAAAAACACAAAAAATTATAAGATTTTATCTATACAAAATAATGGAAACACTTCTATACAAACACATTTTTTGATCTTTCTCAAAAAATACTAAGAGAGAGATAAAAAAAATACTAAGAAATAGATAAAAAAATACTTTCTCAAAAATAATCATTTTTTAAATTTAGAAGTGTGTAGTATATGTGATTTCTCATACTTATGAAGTGTAAAGCTTTTAGGGGTTTGAGGTACCAGCAACAAATTACAATCCGAACATAGTGTTTTTAAACATCCTATGCCAAAAAATGTAACAATAAATTCGTAACTTGTAACAATTATTTTGGACATTATATGCAATGATTTCATAAAATTTCGTAAACCTAGATTAAATATTTATGAAAATATGGACGTTTTTATAAAAAACTTTTGGTGTCCTTTTGTTTTGCTTCTTTGCTATAACAATAAAATTAAACAAAACTTTTGGAGCAATTTAAAATCAATGACAAAATTTCTCAAAATTTCAGAAATATTTGTTTACAACTGGGCAAGATATGAGTAGTTAAAGTAGTTATTTTATATTGTGCAGGTAAAATTTAATTTTTTCTTTTCTTTTATTTATAGTGATTTGTACTTGGAAACTAATAGAAAAAGTTAGTTTTGAATATCTTAGAAATTTAAAAAGTTTCAAACCATTTTCTAAGTACGTACTTTTTAAAATATAAGGGGTGATAAATGATAGGTTTTACAAAAATTTTATTTTGTACTATTAAACAAGATTTATTAAAAATGACACCAGCATTATTGGGGATTATCCCCATAAAAGTATCTTTTCTTATATTTGTAGAAAACCCCTTGAGTTTTGAATCCCTTAAATTTTGAGTTTCTTTTAAAAAGTACAAAAACCACTTAGAAAATAGCTTGAAACTTTTTTAATTTTTAAGAAATTCAAATTGATCTTTTTTCATTAGTTTCCTAATATGTTTCACTTCACATGCGCAGTACAAAGGAGCTACTTATATTGGACTTAGTTGCATTTTCCCCCCTCAAAAATATAAGAAAAGATATAGGACAATCTTAGAATAAAGATGCACAATATTAATAAAGATAAAATATAGAACAATATTGATAATTTTAGCACAATATCTAAGTTAATACAAATAAGACCAATCATGAACAGAAGTTTTTGATTTAAATCAATTCATTAAAAAAAAAAAANGATTTAAATCAATCTATTAAAAAAAAACATTATGTTAAATTAGAAAACTATTTAACACTGATTTAAAAACTTACAAAAGCATTTTCTTTAGAACATTGAAGCTCCTCTTTTCATAATTTCCAAATTTATTCTAAATTTTTCTCAAGTTTTAAGTAGAAAAACTATGTAGGTATCATCTAGCACAATGCCGTTGCTCAAGACCAGCTCACGATGGTCAAATTTACCTTAATCAAGAAAATTTCTCCAGCACTTATCTTTTCAAGGAACTGTTATAAACATATTTCAACACTTTATATATCAAAATTTTGCAGTTTTATAGATACCAATTATACTAATATAATAATATGTACCTATAATCAGCACCTATTAAAACAACACCAATTACCATAATATTCATAGTACTTATTACCAAAATAAATTTTACCATTGGCCTCAATAATTGTACGGCAATTTTTTATGTTTCTCCTAAAGGAATTAGTACCCTTATCCATAAATTTTGCTTAACTTTACTTATTTTAATTGCTGTGGATTTTTAATTATTTAGGTTTACAGAAACAGGTTCTTAAAAGGATAGCAATAAATAAAATAAACAAGTGGTTTCAGAAAATTTTAGAAATACCAGTTTGATTATGCAGTCTACTCAGATTACCACATCATTGAGTTTATCTGACTCAATGAATGGAAAATAATTAAATATTAGAGGCTGCGCAAGAAACACTTTTTTAAAAAAATTAAATAGAGCTATTTAACAAACACCACTGATGTTAAATATTTGATAAAACAGAATTGTCCATAGTCAAATTAATATCAATGCTTTGGTTAAAACAATGGGAAAATTCAATTTTTTAATGTCTCTCCTGGATAACCTAATCAAACTTTTTGAATGATTTTTAGGACTTGGGTGCTGAAATGAACCCTTTCATCCACTGTCTAAATTTCAGGACATTAGCACAAATGGTTCTAAAGTTATAAGTGAAGTACACAGACAAACACAATAATTCTTCATTTTATTATTATACATGAATAGATAGATAAACCAGATTCATATAAAAATATTTGTTTAACTACAAGTAATGTAAATTTCTGCTTAAGTAGGGCAAAAAAAAAAACTATCTTAAAATTTAAACCAAAATTTGTGATTTGTTTAAATATTTTAGTAACAATAGGTTAGGAAGTAAAGATATAATTCTACGTTATTTTCACTTATTTTGAATCATGCATAGATTATTTAATACTTAATAACAGTTTTTTGTGGAGTAAAGCTGTTTCCAGGTATAAGAACACATAATTTTTTTTTAAAAAATAGAACAAATTTCGGTACTAGATATTTATGATTTTTATGTTACACATTTCTTTTAAGAATCAACAATGCAGGAAACAAAAAAATTTTCATTATTAAATTTTAACATGTTTTGAAATAAATTTTATTTAAAATTAATATTTTTTTTTAATTTGTACTTAAACGTTCTGGTAATATTTAACACAATGCATAGTAATGAGCTAAGTAAACTTTCATTAATTTTCTGATAAATTCTACATTTCACTCATTTTTTAATGATATTGTTTTTAGCAGTTATTACTATATGTTTTCATATTGCTTTTAAAATCTCAATTATTTAAAACGACTTTATAGTGTTCTGCAAATTTTGAATCACACATTTCAGGAATTACTTTTCAGTTTGACCTACTCGATTAGCGAAGGTTTCACAAAAAATATATGTAGTTTGTCAATTGCTATTTTGGCCTCTATTGCTATAGATTTGCACATAGTTTTTAAAATCACAACATTTAAACATGCCATTTTAATGTACCACGAGTTTTGTGAGGTTACGTTTAACTACAACATGTATTGTGTTTCGAATACTCTATATCAAATTGTTGCATATGTTGAGTTTATTTTATTGCTTTTAAATATAAATTTTATGAACGAAAACAATTTAAAAATATTGGATCCAATCAACCTAATTCAGAACCAATGGAATACCATTTCACCTGTTATAGGGATTTTTTAAAAAAATATTTCCCTAAACATAAGGAAGGATATTTCCATAAACCTTAAAAAAATCAGAAGAATTTTAATTAGTCCAGTAGAGTGGGAGAACTGCGGGAAATCCAGTAGTCTCCTGGAAAATCCAGTAGGGTTGGCAGCTATGTACAGTTGAAAAAATGTTGCTAACTTGGGGATTAGTTTAAAAATTTTTTTTTATAACTTTTCAAATATTTTCCTGCTTCTAAGTCAGATCAATTCTTTTCAGTAAAATAATATGTATATATTATATAATTAAAGGCTTCCTATTTGTAGTTTTTCTTATTAGGCCAGATATCTTAAAAGAAAAAAAAAAGAATTAACTTTGCTTCTTTAAAGTGTTTAGTGTTAAATGTTAGTGTTGAATGTTGATTGAAATATTATAAATTTTCTTCCAATTCACAAATAAATCCCCGAAAATTCCGATTAGTCTTGCCTGTATACAAGCCCAAACTGTGTATGACTGAATAATATTCCACATAAAGTAAAATTTTAACTAGTGTAGTTTACCTCATCATATTCACCATCTGATTCTTCTCTTTCTATGTATTCAACATTCTCTCGTTCATTATAGCCACCACCTAGACCTGCAAATATTATTAGAAAATAATTGAATTAGTTACAAAAAATTTAAAAAGGAGCTTATAACAAATCCATGAATAAAATAGAATTTTGAATTCAATGTCTATTCAAGCAATGATGACATATAATAGCATGTTTCTCACAGAAGAAGAAAAAAAAAAGGAAACTCGCAGGAAATTATTTAAACCTTAAGCTCATTAATTTTAAAAAGAAAGCTTATATGATTAAATAAATCTCAAATGGTAAACAATTTTTATGCAAATTGAGGCATTTTAAAAAATTTGTCCCACCACAAATTTGCAGCCCTACATATAATAGATTCTATCCTAATAATCATTATTTCTTAAATTTCTACACAATGGTATACTAATTTAAAACTGCTACACACTTTTATTTTGTCAACAAATTAAAAAATGAGAAACCAGAAAAATCTAATTAACCCTTTTTTGCATGATGAAGGAAATTTTCATCATAACATTTGTGAAGAAAAATTATACTCAGAACAGGTGTACTGTGAATTAGTTGTTGCTGACAACTCTTTTCCCAACTATTGCGTAGGAACTTACCAGCAAAACAAAAATCAAATGTCACAATCTATCAGGTTTGAACTTGTCATCCTGCTGTTTATTGTGGGTGAAAGAAACGTGTGATTTCTTGAATATCTCTCTACAACTAACCTGGGGGGCGTTTTTTTTTTTTGTACAATGAGCAGGGAAAAAGTTTGTTTTTTGTGTTTCTGTTGTTTTCTATGCAATTTATATTGAATACTCCAAATAATCTTCCCGAAACCATGCAACAGAAATTTACAGAAATTACAATGCAGTTGTTTCACTTCCAATGTATAACAAAAATGGTTTTTACTATGTCTATTTTATGTTATTTTTGTAGATAAATTCAGAAGAGACGGACATTGAATATTACTTGGGCCAGTTAGGAGGCAGTTGGATATCAGAAGATGGCCTTGATGACGAAAATTCTGCAAACGAGTACACGATGCAGATGAAATTATAAGTATGTTGCAAGAGAAGGATAATAATTGTGTTAAACACACAAAATAAAATTTCAATCAACAATTTTTAAAAAAGAAGAAGAGAAGTAAATGAAATTAATTAAGTCAAGGCGATAGATTCTTTTTTCAGCAAAACCAAATGCAGGGATGGAACAGCAGTATAACCATTTTAGACCAGAAGAAATCTGCTTTAAAGCAAGTAAATTTGGTTCTTTGAAACAGATTAGAAAAAATAATTTTTATATTCTGAGCAACCATTGTTGATCAAACAAATTTAGATTTTCTATCATATAGCATTACTTCTATATTCAGCTAAAAAAAATTACTCAATTGGTTTCTTGCAAAAATAAGTAGATTTTAAATAAATAGATAAAAGAAATATGAAGATATTATTTGAAAAAGCTAAATAAAATTCCCACTTTAAATTAAACTATTTTCACCATCACAAGTTAAAAACAAAATATTACCAATAATCTATAACATTATCAAAGTAAGGTAAAGGGATTTCGGAGGATGCTGCCTAGCATACCTTTTGATTTGTATTATACGTCCTGACATATTTATAAAAAAAAAACTAGCCTAATTGAGCCAATTCTAAATTCACAACTTTTTCAGTTCATTTTTTCTGGAGTTTCATTATTTTTTAAATCATTTTTGCAGGATTTTTCAGATTCTGATATATTTTATGTTATGTCATTTTTTACTTTGAGTTATCACTTCTTCATGTGCTCAATAAGCGGCAACTCAATCCTAACTTAAGGCTGTTTGATAATCATCTTTTTAGATATTTCTTCAGACATTTTCTCGGACAATAATTCAAATTCTGATGTTTTAGATAAGATTTTTTTGTGACTTGCAAGTTTAAAAAAATGGCGATTCATTAATGATTTCATCTCAAATCAATGTTTGACGCTCTTGATCCTATTGTTCTACATTCTTTTTCGACCACTCTCACTTTTCTCTAATTCCTATATTTTAAATACAGTGTTATAACAACACACGTCTTTCGAATTTCAGGTTTATCTTTTTTACGTACTTTATTTTTCATGATTCTAACATAAATCATAGTTGTTTATTTTTTGTGTCTTCAACCCTTCCATATGGTTTCTCCCATTTTGATATTTTTATTACGATGTCATGTCCTCATCGAATTTTGTGTTTCAGTAACCAAATTTTGATGTTCTTCATATAATAAGGAGAAAAAACCACAAACTTTTATTTTTACCTGATAAACTCATTAATTGACATTTAGGAAAAAAAGGACAATCACTTGCTGTGTTGGAGAAAAAAAAGGCTTTTGTTTACAAATAGTTGACACAGTTGTGTTTTTTGAAAAAGAGATTTGGAGCAGCTTGGTATGATTTTAGAGGAAAAAACAAAATATAGGAACAGAAATTTTGCTATGGAGCAGTTGTTTCAACCTTGCAAAGACTGAAATCAGCTATATCAAAATATATGAAAGGCAAAGTATAAAAAAATACATATAAAATTTTTCTATAAATCTACAATAAAAAAAGAGAGAATATTTACCAGTTCTTTCTTCTACTTCACCAAACTTGGGGGCATTACACATATTACACTGTTGCCGTCTGGCCCAATTTACATTTCCACACCTTTGAGACAAAAATTACATCAATAAACATAGATATGAGTTTTTTAAAATTGCATCAAAAAATTTATAACAGCGGTAAAATATATTGACACTCCATCACAAGATCCCCTTAAAAGAATTAACAATTTAATTTCATGCAAAATGCCATGCCAAAAATTTTAGATTTAAATAAAAATCAATTTAACATGGTTTGCAAGCAAACTAAATGTTTTATATGGCATGTTTTCTACACATTATATGCCATATTAATCATAACAACAACAAAAAAGGGTTAAATGATAAGGCTATTTTTCTAATTGTTTTGAATATACTAAGTTTAAGCAGATATATACTTCTTCAAGTCTTTAAATTTGTAGAAAGGCAAATTTTAAATTATTCAATTTTTAAAACCTTTTGATACATTATTGTGAAAGCTTACATGAAAATTCTAAGAAAGCAGTGAAATATCTCAAAATATTTTCAAAAAAATGCAACACAAAGATCATCCTAATTTTGAAATTTGTAAAAAATAAACCAATCAAAATAAAGATCAGTTTCAAATCAAAAGAATAGAGAAAATATACTTTTTTTTAATAAATAATCCTCAAAATATGTGCAATTCTGAGACCATTCCATAATTGATTCCTTCATCAATAGATGAGTTTTATTTTGGATTCAATCATTTCATATTTTCATCACTTCAATGCAAAAACTAAGATGAGGAGTTAAATAGACTCTTAAGCATTGATCTTATGATTAATTACTATTACAAATGAGCATAAACAAAAATATGCCCAAAATGATCAGAAATTTACAATAAACTGAACCAAGTTAGCGTAAGAACATCCCATTTTTCATTCACAATAAATAAATAAAAATAAACAGCATTTTTGAGAATGAAAAAGAACTACCAAAACTAGAAAATGATGAAAACTTTGCAATAATTGCCTGAATTCAAAATTTCTTTTAACCAAATTCAGCTTTGCAGTAAAATAAAAAAAAGTGCATCAAGCAATTTAGTTCCTGATTTTACTTTTATATTTACTTTTTAATAGCATTTAAAAAATAATAAAATACTTGAATTAAAAAATAATTTTGAAGGAACTAGCATTTTTAATATCTATGTATTTATTCATTATTATTTTCAAACTGCTTTATTTCGTAATTTTTTATTAAACTAAAACAATTTAAATTGATTTAGTTTTCTTTTTCTTTTTTTTTTTTAAAAAAGAAATATATAAATTAGGATTTAAAAACACTTTCCAGCACCTAATTGCACAGTATCATTTTATGCAAGAAATGGTTAAAATATAAATCATAAATTAAAGAAAAAATATTTCTGGACCTTCCACATTGCCAGTCATCAGCACTAAATAGACCACGACTCTTCTCAGCAGCTGCTTTGCCTATCTCATGTCCTAATTTTTTTCTCTGTGGTATGGCTGCTTTTTCTAAAAATAATAACAGCATATTTATGTCTAAGGCAAATAAAAGTAATATAATATTTAAATATATTAATATAGTTATATTTTTAAAAAAACTTTATTACAAACATCCGTTTCACAAACAGAATTCAAAACAAAAAATATCAAATGGGGTGCAACTTCGTGCAAATAAACTTTCAGCAAACAAATTTTTTCTTATCTTATAAAAAAGTAAACAAAATTTACCTTTTCCACATCTATTACAGGTTGTTCTTCTTGCAAAATTAACATTGCTACACCTATAAATAAAAAAAAATTTAAATTCTACAGATATTTGTTTTAATTCAATTGAAATAGCATATTAAAAGCTTTTTAATCATTTCAAAATAAATAATTAATTAAAATGAAAACACTGTAAATTATAAATGAGGCATATAAATTACTTGTTTGTCAATAAAGTCAAATTATTGTACAGTAGAGAACCGATTATCCGGAACGATCGGGACCATCGCTATTCTGGATAACTGATTTTTCCGGTTTTCTGAATCGCTACAAAAAGATGTTTTTTATTGTTAAACCCAACTAAAAAAATATATAGTATANTCTCATGTCCCAATTTTTTTCTCTGTGGTATGGCTGCTTTTTCTAAAAATAATAACAGCATATTTATGTCTAAGGCAAATAAAAGTAATATAATATTTAAATATATTAATATAGTTATATTTTTAAAAAAACTTTATTACAAACATCCGTTTCACAAACAGAATTCAAAACAAAAAATATCAAATGGGGTGCAACTTCGTGCAAATAAACTTTCAGCAAACATATTTTTTTTTTATCTTACAAAAAAGTAAACAAAATTTACCTTTTCCACATCTATTACAAGTTGTTCTTCTTGCAAAATTAACATTGCTACACCTATAAATAAAAAAAAGGATTAAATTCTACAAATATTTGTTTTAATTCAATTGAAATAACATATTAAAAGCTTTTTAATCATTTCAAAATAAATAAATTTAAATCAAAACACTGTAAATTATAACTGAGGCATATAAATTACTTGTGTGGCAATAAAGACAAATTATTGTAGTTTGATTTTCACTAAACTTTATTTTGAGTTATTCATCTTTTAAATTAAAGCTGAAAAAAGCAATAACAAAAAATTTACTACAACCAAAGGGATATCAATTTTTTAGAATCAAAGGCTAGACTATTAAATTGGAAAATATAATGGATATTGAACAAAAGGATTTTTGTATTTTGCAAAAAACTTTTTAGTGGTTTGCATCGGGAGAAGTGAGTATGTCTACGAGCTACACACTTTAAATTTATCCTTTTCTTTAATATTATATATTTTTAGTTTGTCAAGCGTGACTGCTCTATTAACAAAATTTGGCAACTATTTTGGATAAGCATCTACTTGGAAAGTTTCACTTTACCACATTAACTTTAAACCCACCGAATTCTAAATAAGCATTGTGATTATGATTTGTAGTTAAATTAGTAAGGAGTAAATATTTACAGTTACGAATGTTTAAATGCAAGATTATAAATTGGAAGATAAAAATACTAAATCTAATTAATGAAGTGGATAAAATATTAAAAATTTTAGCTATACATTAATTGAAATTTGTATTTTAAGCCAATGGACACATTCTTTCTCAAATGAAGAAATTAACATTTTGCCGTCGACACATGTTCACTTTAAAAGCATCTTCAAAAGAAAGAAATCATAGGAAGAATTTTTAAAAGTCTCTCGATATTTATTTCCATATACAGTCGAACCTCGCTAACTCGAACCTCGATTTAACGAATATTTTGATATCTCGAAGGGAAAAAAAATTCCCTTCAAATTTCCTATACACTCAATGTTAAAGAAACCTTGATTTTTCGAATTTTTTTTTCTAACCCCTCGATAACTTGAATTTTTTTCTCCATAAATAGTGTAGATTTGTTTGCTGAAAATAAAAAAAATATTCAAAAAATTTTTTTTTCTTAAGAATAGAAAGCCAATTCTCATAATCAATTCTCAAACAAACACTTTCCGCAGTAGACACTGTAAGGAGATTTACTGAGAGGCAGTTGAATATGTCAAAGGAGACATTTAAAGCTATAGTCCACTTAGAAAGTGTAATAGACAAACTTTCTTACACATCTCTAAAGGAAACAACAATTGAATCTGTTTAAATATAAAAAGTGTTTTTAGAATAAATATGGAATAGTAAATAAGGTATGTAAAGAGCATTTTTCCTTATTCTACCATCGATAACATTCTATTTTCGGTATCTCGAATTTTTTCTCCTCACCCTTCAAGTTTGAGATATCAAGGTTTGACTGTATATTAAAATCAAGCTTCTTTTGTCTATAAAATTATACTAGTCCTCTTTTTGTCTATAAAGTTATACTATGTAGCAATTTTAAAAAAATGAACTTTATAATTTAATTGGCGAAACCATTTCAAAGCTTGTAAAACTGGAGCATGACATCTTCTGTCAGAATATGTGTTTCCAAAAATGCTCTTATAACTTTATTTGCAAAATTGAACTATTAAAAGGCACAGAATAGAAAATTAAATACAACTTTTAAATGATTCAAAAGTCATTTGATACATAATAGCTTTCTCATATTGGAATGTTCTTTAAACGTTGCGTTAAATGTACACGAGATTTCGAATTTTAAATAATGAATCATTTTTGCATTATGAAAGTGAGAAATGCGGAAATTTTCGGAAAGAGTGGTGACTGTGAGAATAATCTTTCTTCATTACATAAGTTATTTCTAAACTTACAGTGTGTTGTAAATTGCACAATACAATTTTTAAAAAATACATCGATAGACAACAACAGAAAGAAAAATGCAATTTAGGGGGAGATTTCCGCATCGTGATCTGTGACAGAATAATCCCCAAATCTTGGAAACTTCCGGGCAGTGGCCCGCGAGAAACTAAAAAAAACATTGCAGAAAGGGACCAACTCGAAAGGTATAACTCGTAGCCACCCCCGTGCAAACAACTACATGTTTTTAATTCCCTGATTTAGATTTACATAAAAATGAATCTGCCCATTATGGTATTAGAATTAGTGATTTTTACTTCTTAGAAACACACTTCTGAAAAAAGTGATGTGAGAAAAGCATGAAGTATATAATTCGCTTTAATTAAGCGTACGAAAAAAACTCTAATAAATTAACAAGCACATTTAGGTTCAAATACACTGTTTCAGTAAAATAATCTCACAGTAACGAAGAAAAGTGTAACCTCTTCACTATGTAATTTTGTTCAATTTCAAATGAAATTAGAGGAACAGTTAAGATTTTACAAGCAAGAAGGAACAGTTATTTGATTATTATTAATGTAAGCTATAAAATATAATGGTAAAACTGAAGCAATGCAATGAAAATGAAATCTACAAATATTGGATAGAAATTCAATGATTTTGCTTCCATAAAAAATCTTACTGAGAATCTGAACAAATCCAATCTCCATCATTCATTTTTTTAAATACAGTTAAAAAATCCTAAATATTTTAATGCCGATTTTTACAACCGATTATTGTACTCAAATTATGTCGCAGGAATTAGAGAATATATAAAGGTTCTAAATAAATAACCTTAAAAATCATGAACTAGACTATTTTTTAATTTTTTACCGATATAAGATAGAAAAACAAAAAAATTAAGTCACTTCATTTCAGTTTATTTCAGTTTTTCTTAAAATCAAAGTTAAAGTTATTCCATTAGGATGTCGTAATTGTTGCTAAGTTGCTAAATTTAAATGAAACTGTAACTGCGTGGGTGACGAGTTACAAGTTACAGCAATTTCCCTAAAAAAAATGTAAAACGCTTTTATAACTTTAAATATTATTACCTTATTAAAAATAAAAACAATAACATATTATTTGATTATGTTATTTATATGAACAAGGTTTTAATTTGGCTTTTCTCAATGATTTTTATGGTAAATGTGTTTTATTCATTTTGTTTCAAATAATTAAAAGTGAATGTGATTTTGGCGCCAGTTATACTTATAAAGGATTTTTTTTGTTGTAATGAACCTTTTTTGCTGATTGAAACATTAGTTTTCAACTAACCTTAATTTATAGTGACACTGCTCCTGTCTTTATGTCTCTTGTCTGATCGTAGAGTACGAACGCAGCCATTGTTTCGATCTAGTTTATAGATGTTCAGCGGAAGGGCGTTCAGAAAATGCTTTTGAGATAATATATTATGATGGGTAAGTGATATTTTAATGCTAAATATTTTTGATTTTTACTGTGGCTTGTAGTTTTAAACTATTTAGTGCTTGACGTGGATGAAATTTTAATTGTTTCGTTAGACTTATTTCTTTGACATTCAATGTAGCATTGTTTCATTTATATAAATACGAATCCTCAAAACTCTTAGCATCTTTTTTATTATTGTTTCTTGTACTTCGTCTACATATTACTTTTTCGTACCTCATAAATAACCTGTATAAAGTCACCCTTTAATAATATGTAAATATGAATGAATTTTTTACATGGAAATTAATTTTATTTAAATCGAAATTTAATAATATAAAGATTATTATATAAAAGAAATTCTTTTTTGTGTTCATTCAGCAGGTTAACTCCATTTAGTCACAAACTGCTAAATATGTCTCATTTTTGTTCATTCTGATGCAATGTTTATATTATTGAAAATAAGTTTTACTTCAACAATATTCAGATCTATAACTAACTTATACGCTATGTATTTGTGTGGTAATAGCCAGTAAACGTAAATTCACAGTTATAAAGTTCGTCCTTTTTTAAAAATGGCCTTAATTGCAGTAAAGAGTCATAAATTATTTAAATAAGGGATCAATATTTTCAAGAGTGTAAAGTCTCGCTTATTTAAAGTTATTGTTAATGAAGTAGGTAAGGGAGAGTAGGGGAGATTTCCGTATCGTAATCTGTGACAGAATAATCCCAAAGTCTTAGAAACTTCCTGCCAGTGGCCTGCTAGAAACTAATGAAAACATCGTAGAAAGGGACCATCTTGAAAGCCATAACTTGAAACCTCCCCCAGGCAAACATCTACATGTTTTGTTTTGTTTTTTAAATTTGCAAGCTTAAAATCTATTTGGCACCAAGGCGATTGTAGTATGCTCGACAGATCACGATTCGAAAACAACCCCGATGAATAAATAGCAGTGATACTCAAGTAATAGCAATGATGGAACTTGTTAACTTGAATTATTCTAATGTTTTCCTTCAGCTATGAATACCAAAGAAAAATAAGAAAAAATTATGCATGTAAAGGATTAGTTTTTGACTATGAGTTTATTATCCCTGAATGAAAAACAACTTTATTGTACAACAGTTTTAAAAAGTTAAAGAAGAAAACTTTTTTGTGTTAACTAAAATGCTGCATGCTGGCAGCTTTAGTTTAGGTGTTTAGCATTTCATGTCTCCAATATTTCCTTTTTTTCCATTAAATTGTTAAATGTTTTAACTATTGGGCAATTCTGTGTAAAGTATGAATTAGTGATGTAACGAATAGTGATGGGGCCGAATATTCGGCCAAATTTTAGGCCGAATACCGAATATTCGGTGGCCGAATACTTACTTTTTAAAAATTTCTCTTTTGATTGTAATTAAAGTAATTTTCAAATTTTAAATTAAAAATGAAATAAATATTAACAAAATTGCTTTTTTAATCTTTGTATATTTAAAAAAATTTTAACAACTTGATTTATTTTTTGTAATAATTTAAATATCTTGATGCCAATAACAAGGCAATATGGCTTTTATAAATCTAAATAATTAATAATAGCATATTTTAGTTATAGTTATACTTGTAATTTATATGCTATTTTATTTAAAATAAGAACTCATTACTACTGTTAAATGTATTCTTAACTTTCTTTTTAGTTAGAAAAATTATTAAAACCCAGAAAATTAAGAACTTTTTCAAAAGTTTCACTTCTGAAATTTTAATTTTGTAATTAAATAATTTTCAAATTTTAAATTAAAAATGTAATAAATATTAACAAATTTGCAACAAGAAAATGTTTTTATTTATGTAACATTATTAAATACACTTATGTATTATACAACTTAAATTGAGTAAATGTTAGATTTTCTAATAATTAATGCAGTGAAATGTAACTCTGCAATAGTCATGATTAAATGTATTTAAAAGCACATTTAAAAAAATATCTTTCTTTATTATTATGCACTTATTCAGCCAAATATCTAATAGTATTCATATTTAGCCAAATAACTTCAGTATTCGGCTAGGCCGAATAGCGAATAGTGGCCGAATATTCGTTACATCCCTAGTATGAATGAATTTTTTTCTTCATGTTATCTCTTTCTTCTTATCTTATCATATTATTTTATTTCGCTTTCACTCGCATAGCGTAATTGTTCTCTTGTTTTGTTTTTTATTAGTTATTTATTAATTTTTTTTTTTTTTGCATTAATTGTAATTTTTTATAAATAATTGTTCATTTTTTTGTTTGTTTTTTGTGAATTTTAATTTAATTGTTAATAGTGAACATGGTGATTGGTGGCGTGCCCAAAATATTGTGTCACGTGCCATTGGTTCGCCATCCCTGGTCTAGTACAAACTTATTTTATTTCATAGGCTGATCCTTCACTGTTACTTAAAGAACTGGCCTCTGTTGCTGAGTTAATTGAAGACAAAATAAATACGAAGGGAAAATACTTAGAAAAAAAAATATAGCAGAGAAATTATCATGTTTTCTACCATTGATTGTAGACAAGGGATTAAAAAAAAAATTTGACTGATTTTTTTAAGCACGTTTGTATTATTTTATTTAAATGCATAATTAATACTATTTGATTGATAGTGCACCAGAAAACATTTTGTCCGACCACGCATGCCTAAAGAATTGGGCGTCCTATAAGATGCGTCATTGCAAATTTTTCACACCCTTTAAGCAGTTTTTTTTTTTTGTTATAAGACGCAATTGGAATCAAAGATTTTGCATTTTCTGTAGTATTTTAAATGAGATTTCTTACATGATCTTTATTTGCAGGATGAGAAATATATGTTTATTGTATTGTACTGAAGCTTTCCTTTCATCTTAAGTAAGTCTTTATATGTTTTATATATTCTTTGTTTTATATAGTCTTCATTTGTTCTTTGAATTTCTGAGTTCCGAAATATAAGGGGTAGCTACAACCTGTCAAGTGTGGTCCCAATAGTTAGGTCTTTTTTTTTTTTCTTTTTAAATATTCTATTTATTAATAATTTTCTGTTCTTTAAAAAAAATCATCTTTTCTTTGTAATACTATTGTGTTTTATGGTTTATTTACAGTGCGACAAGGAAAAAATTTACCACCCTTAATAAATTTTGATCTAATGATTGGATCTTCGTATTCAAGGACTTGATCTTAATGGTTGAAGGGTGAACCTCAAAGACTAATTAGTGCAGATCAGGGTTGGCAAGATTTTGCCACAGGTGGAAAAAACCATGGTAAATACCGGTAAAAACCGTCCTGGCAAAAACAGGTTTTTGCCAAGCAAATTGGCAAAAAGTGGCAAAAACCTATATTTTCCAAGATGAGAGGACAAAAACACATTTTTGATACAAAATTATTCCTAAAATTGAAATATATACTATAAATATAAATAATTACAAAAAAATTAACAAAATTATTATTCCATAATTAAATGATCATGTAATAATATATCATTTTAGTAGTTTAAAAGATTATTGATTGGAAAATTTGTGATTATTCTTTTTTTTTCTCCAGTGAAATGAACTTATATAATTATAATTTAAAACATAAAATAACTATCAATATGTGTAGTTAATTATTGTACAAATAATAATTTTTTATAATAAATAATAATATTATGCAAATAATAATATTTATTTATTTGTAAAAAAACATTTATTTTAGGATTCTAAAATGAAAAGAGATCACAAACTTTCAATCTTTTAAAAATTATTACCATTATATTAATTATTAATATGTTAAAAATAATTTTTTCATGTAATGTATCAAAATTATTATTCCTTATGATTGATTTAAATTTGTTTCAAGTATTTTGTAATAATATTTTATCAGCAATTTAGATAATTTGGTTTTTGCCGGTTTTTACCAGTTTTTGCCTGTTTTTACCAGGTTTTTGCCACTGTCCTGGCAAAAACCCCTTTTTGCCGGCAAAAACTCCAACCCTGGTGCAGATGGTATTTTAAGTTATGAAATCAGATGCAAAAACGTACTTTCTCTGGATAACCATACTTTTTCTCTAACTGATTCGGATTTCCGACCCCTTAAAATATGGGGGTAGCTGCAATCTGGAAAATGTGGTCCTAATAGTTTGGTCAGTTGACCATTATAAAGTTTCGACCCCCTTAATGTTAATTTTACTTTTTGCGTATCTTGAAAACTTTTTAAGCCAATTGAAAAAAATTTCTCACGATTATAATATCAGTTTGCCCAAAGTTAATGCCTTGTAAAAGATAAATTTTTAATCATTTTTTATTCTATTTTAAAAAAATGTCAAACAAATTTTTAAAGTTTGTAATTTCCTAAGGCTAAATTTGAACAAAATTAAGTCTAGAAGCTCCTTAAGGATTTAACTTTAAATATATAACTTCTTTAAAGTTCAATTTCTTAGAATATATTTGACTATCGTTCAAAAAAAAACGTGAAAAATATATCTGGAAAGTTAGTGAATTTTATTCTATTTAATTAACAACCTTGCAGGCTTGTGATTCTTCCACTAATTCGCGGGGTTCCACAAATCTCAAGACCGATTATTCACGGATTTCAGTGAATTAATAATTTATATTCTGACAAAATTTTCTCAGGATTTCGCTAATCTATAATTTAATTTTTGATACTTACGTAAAATCTCATAAACAAGACATTTATTCCGCCCTTACATCATTCCATTTTATTGTTCAGTTCTTATTCGTGCACCATAATGACTCACTCATTTATGCAGATTTGTTAAAGAAAAGAAAAACTTTGGATAAATTGCAAGAACATAAGGCGGGGGGGGATACTAACTTCGGTTAGAAATAGTGAACTACTGAGGCAAACACAAAAGTATGAAATTAATAATTTAAAAAAGGTGTGTGAAAAAAGTGACCAGTTATTTACTTAAGTCGCAACTTTTTTTTTGTTGACACCTCTTGTGGCAAATGGTTAGTTTCTGGTCTAAGAATTCTGTTTAAAGAAGGTTTTATTTAACCACATACTACAGAGAACTCCACCCATGGAAATTCTTTTTTCCAAATCTCTAGAAATGGTCGCTTTCTCTTCTCTTTGTCGTAAATTTGAAGACTTTTTCTTTTTTTCCGATATCGTTGGATGGACCACTCTTTACTGTTATGGTTTTCACCTTTTTATTGGTATCATTTCTGATTCCGCTATCAAAATAATTGCTATTGCTTTGCTGCCGTAAATATGTAAATCTCCAGTATTTGAGAGCCCTGGTTGGAGGCAGCAAGGAGAAGTCTACAGTGACCTCATGAGTTGGGCGTTACGTGATCAGAGGAGTTGTTAATTTCTTCGTTTGGAGTCCAAATGCGCATGCACAGAGCAACTTTTCTTTTCTTTACCATTTACGTGAGCATGCGCATTTGGTCTGCCGAAGGAATTAACAGGATTTCTAGATTAGTGGGGTCATTTTAGAAGTGAGGCGTTAGACTCTTGAAGGATTTAAAAAATTGAAAATGTATCACGAGCATTAATGGGAAAATGGTCGTCCACTCGACGTCAGATTTGAGAAATTCGTTGGGAGTTTTTGAGCCTTGATTTAGAGGTACCTTTACAAATTCAACTTAAGAAAAAAAAAGTAGTTTCACAAAATACTTTTATTAAAATTTTATTTTTGTGTTGATTTTTTAATATAATTTTTAATTTTCACAGATTATATCTAAGTTTTCACAAAATAGGTACCTCTCAGAAAAACCTAGACAGTCCCCTGTTCTCTTACATTAGTTGTCACAAAAAAAGAGCTTTCAGCACATTTTTATAGACATACAGCAAATAAAGAATCACTGGCAGCCAGGTTAACATGTATATCGCTCGAATAAAAAGTTATTTAATGGCATCAAACCAATAGAAAAGAAATAGTAATTTGACGAGGAAAGTTGCAATGTACAATCAATACTAAGTTGCAAATTATGCATCAGCAATCTTCAAGGAAACTAAAGATCATGAATGTAAAGAGTATGTACAAAACGTAATAAATGTGGAGAAAATCATTATGTTTCTGATTTAACCTGTGCATGTAAACCATCTTTTTAAAATAAGCTAGTAATAAAAAATTAATTCATTAGAATTAATTTTACAAAAATATCATTTTTAGTATCTTTAATATTGTATCACTAGCAAATATTTTTAAATGAGAAAATATTTCTAATGTAAAATAACTTAGAACTTAATCTTTTTTCATTAAAATGGGAAATATTTTCTTAAATGATGTTAATATAGTGTTTGGTAAAGCAATTTAGTTAACAATTGCTGGATAAAAAAAATATTTTTTCAATATTCTTTTTATATATTAATAGATAGATATATAGAGATTTTAATTAAAAATCAAAATGAGTTTTTCAAAAAGTAAAATGTGATTGAAAATATGATTTTGATTAATGAATAATTCTTTGATTAATGAATGTTATAAAAAATATATTCATTGTGTTCGTATTTTTCTACATTATATTTTATTCTGTTGTTTGCTTATGATTAAGGAACCATTTTTTTATATTTAACTTATTTTCTGAAATCTCATTTATTGTTAATGATTAAATATTTCTTATTTGAGATTAATATTTTAATGAACACAGTATATATAGATTTTTGTAGTTGTTCATATGCAGCCTTTGCAGGAATAAGAAAATAAATTTAGAATAATTTTTTTTTAAATAATTTCAAGTGTCATTTCTATTAAAATTATTAAAAATATATTTGTGATTTGACTATGTTAGTATGTATTTCTTTTTATTTGAGCAAAATGCAGTGATTTTCAGTTTGCATTATCCAAAATTCATTTAATTACCTACATTGCTTTTTATATTACTTTAAACAACGATAATTTTTTATTATTGGTTAATAGTCTGACAAACATAATGTGCCCAATTGAAAAGAAAAAATTTATTTGACATCTTTTAACAGCATTTGCGGGTAGGAAACTGAACTCTGTACTACATATTAAGTGATATGTACCTTTAACAGTTACTATTTTTGCTAAGTCTGCTTGAACTGTAGTTTGATTTAAGTTTAGTTATAGTAAAGATTAATGCTCAAATTTTTTCAAATCATTCTGAATTTAAAATCAATCAATTCATGGGCGTTTTATTTTTCCAGCATTTTTACAACTATCTCATTTTTAAGCTCTTAGACCTTATTTTTAAACAAAAGTTTTGGTGAAATTTTGCATGAATCAATAAGAAGCCTGTGTACATTTATTTATTGAAAGAAATTGAATTCTGATTGGTTACATTTTGAATATTTTATTGCAGTTTCTGTACAATTTTCTCAACATGGCAACAATAATCACTGAGAGCTTGTTTGGTCCTAGTAACAGAAGGCGGTGTGTCAAAGGACGAGCTTCATATATTGAATCTGTTGATAATTTGCTATCTTGTGAACAGACAAAATTTGATACTTACGATTACCATGAGGATAATGAAAAAGTAAATTACCCAGAAATTTTTGAACCAGAAGAAGTAGAAGAAGAACCAGTTACCATTGATTTGTCAGCTTTTTTGCAAGATATTCCCCTTTTAACTGAAACGACCCCTGAAAATGCTGTTGATTCAACTGCAGATGATAGTCATTCTCAGTTCCGTGTTACAACTTCATTAATTGATTCCACTCCTGCTTTACCAGATAACACAACATTAAAAACACTAGATTCTTATGATAATACTTCGGGTGCACCTGCTGTTCATGCAGCAGGTGACCCCCCTTTACCAATTCTAGATATGAATTTGGCAGAAGTTCCACTTAATATTGGTAGTCCAACTAAAATCAAAGAAAATGTTTTCTCTCCAAATAAAATATCTCCCAAAAAATATATCAAGCCTAAAAGTCCTTTAGGTTTTTCAAATCCACTAAAGAAATATAGAAATTTTTCAAAGGGCAAAGATTTTGTCAAGAATCACATAAAAGTGTTTGGTAAATATCCTGTAATTAAGTGTGAAAAATTAGATATTGAAAATTTTGTAAAAATGAACAATATTAAGGTTAGTAATTGGCCTTTATCTCATGTGAAGACTCCTAAAAAAAGTGGGATAAGTCCTGGTGTTAAAAGAGTGCGAGCAAAACCTATTTCAAGAATTCCTAAAGTTAAAAAACCAGTGAGTGGTAGTAAATCTTTACCTACTAATGCATCTGGCATTCTTGTAAGTGCATTACATCCAAAAACAATACCAAGTAATGGTTTTGAAACTGGTAATAAAAATATGCCACTGTTCCTGAATAGGGTTTCTGACAATCTGTCTGATGTAACGCATTCTGTTATTAAACAAAACTTTAATGGAAATGAGAGATTAATCAGAATCGTCGGTCCTCATTTTTCTTCTCCACAGAAATCCACTTTATTTCCTATAAAACAACAGAGTTTGGGTGCACAAAACTACAAATTGCCTCTTGTTACTAGCATTAACAGATTTAAAGATGTTTCAAATAATAACAGGTGCAAAATGTTTCAAATAATAGCTCCCAAACAGTATGTTAGTCCTGTTACCTTAAAATCTGTAAATAATACTGTGTCACCACATATTTATTCAAAACCAAAGCAAGATTCTGCTTCTTCGCTTGTCAAGTCGAAAAATTTCACTCTTGTTGAACCACACATCAAATATTCTAAAACTTCTATTAAACCAAATGTCATTAATGAGCCGTTTGATATCATGTCCGATAATTTCTGTTCGCCTAAAATAAAGTCTCCTTCCAAGTATCAGAAAGATTTTAAGGTACAAGAAACTGAAAAATCTTTCGTTACACCTTCCAAAACTGTACACAACAGTCTGGAGAAGATTAGGAATGAGCCTATTTTGCAAGATACTGAAATCGAAAATCCATCCACGGGAAAATCGCAAGACAATGATGAACAAAACTTGGATTATGATTTATCGAACCAAAACACTGAGTTACAAAAAACAAAAGAAAGGGAATCTGTAAGTTCTGCCGATTTGATTATGGATGTTATGGCAAAAGCTTTTAAAACGCAAGCGAAAAAATCTCTAAGATCTAAGCCATCTAATATAAAGGGTGATCAACAATCTACTTCAGTTTCTCTTGTGCCTAAAACTGAAATTTGTAAAGCATATAATTCAACTTTAAATGACATATTGTTTGGATTTGATGATGATGACTTTTCCGAAGATGCTTGTGTAGATGTCACGCACATAGAACCCACTGAATCTCATTTAGCTGAAGCACTAAATACACCTACAAATGCACAAGTATTAAATGATGAGCACAATGAGCCAAATAAAGTAATCAAATACAAATATAAGAGAAAACAAAATAAACAGCCTTCTCTGGTTTCTGTATCTAATTCAAAAAAGGATATCAAAATCATTTCATCCACGGTTGCAGAAATTTCTGATGACATGACTCACAAGTTAGTAGATAAAGATATTATAAAATGTAATAAAATATTAGAAACTAATGATCTCAGTTCTACAGTTAATGTTGATGCTCTTAATCAAGAGACTGATGTATTATTAAATGTATCAGCCAGTAATCCAGATGTCAGAAGAAGAAAAACATCTATGAAAGATACAGATTCTTCTCCTTGCCTTGATCAGACTAATGATATGCACAATAATACTTCGCTTAATATTGAAAAGGCTGAGACATTAACAGCTTCACCTGTAGGTTCTCTTAGATCTAGACAGCTCCGCCATACAGGAAGATTATTGAAAACGCCAGAAAAAACTGTACCTGAACAAAATCAAGATTTCAACACTGAATATGGAAGCCTTATTAAAATTATTGAAGATTTACCTAGTCCATCTATGACTCCTTCATGCAAACGTCGACAGTCGGGAAGATTACTACGAACACCTGAAAAGTCAGATACCGAAGTAAATTTTAACACTGAAGATGGCAATCTTATTAAAATGGTTGAAAGTTTATCAAGTCCATCTTCTTGTAAACGTCGACAATCAGGAAGATTACTACAAACACCTGAAAAGTCAGATACTGAAGTAATTGAAAACAAATCTCCAAATCTTCCAGCTCCAAATAATAAAAGAAGGAAGTATTTTGCACATAGTTTTAAAAACAAAGCAAAAAGAAACTTTTTATCTGTCAAATCTTTGAAAGGAAAGAAAAAAATAAGTAAACCAATTGATATCATACAAGAAATCAAAACAATAACTGGGGGGAAATTGAAAAGAAAAGGAAAACAAGCTAAAAGTATTTCATTAGAAAAGACTCTAGTTACAGAAACACCTAGTAATTTAATCAACAAATCCAAAATGAAATCTACCTGTAAAAATAAAAGAAAAAGAATAAAAACACTTAAAGTTCTTTTTAAAAAACCAAATTCCAAGTCCAATGAGAATAGTTTAAATGAAAGTGATCTTAATTGTTGTGACTCAAAAAATGAAAATTGTGACCAATCAAATAACAAAACTCTTACTTCTACTTTCAGAACGAAGGTAGTTGATAAAATGGGAACTCCAAATGAGGATGGATTTGAGCATGATACTAGCAGTACCTCTCTTCACCAGAAGGAAGTTGATTCTGAGATTGAAAATTCTAATCACCTAGAGAATGATTTTCCAGGAACGCAGCTTGATCATTCAAATTCTGGTGATTCTTTGATCAATGCCAGCTTAACTATTTCTCCTAAAGCAAACTCTTTGGATGAGTTATTGTTAAATGACTCAGAAAAACTAACAGATCCCATAGCAAAAATAGTTGAACCAAATGCTGTTAATGCTAGTAATAATTCAGATGAATTTGAATTAAATGCTCAATCCTCATCTATAAATAATGAAGAAAGCTGTTTAAATCAAACTCATGATGTTCAAGTAAATGATGATTCTAAATTAAGTGCTGATAACTTGGTAGGTGATATATCCTCAGTCGAAGGAAATGAAAATAAAAACATTGTATCCCAGTCTATAAACCTCTCTGATATCGGTAGTGAATGCCCTGAAACTTTTAATATTACTGAAAAGAAGATTAATGTGGGTGATGAAATTTTAGATAATGAAATAAAATCTGGCAGAAAATTTTTTGATATTTGTGAAAATAGCATGTCGTCTTATAAATCTGAAGGAACACTTGTAACAGTTTCTAATACTTGTGAAGATAAGCTCATTTCTTCCATTTTGTCAGATATTGTTTCAAATGTAAGAGGTGACAGTGATGCTTCATTAGGCATTTCCAATAAAAATTGTGATATTAAACTTAATTCTTCTAATGAAGTTTATAGTGATATTCAGATAGACTGTTCTAGTAAAATTGACAGTAATATCCAGTTAAAAATATCTGATGATAAAATTAATAACATCGAGCAAGATCCTTCTAATGTAAATGATGATAATAACAGGCATCAAGTCTCTTCTGTAGAAACTAATAGTGACATCCAGATTGACTCTGTTGAATTTGATAGCAATGTCCATTTAAACTCTTATGATGAAGTTAATAATGACATCAGACTAGACTCTTCTGATAAAATTAATAGTGACAGCCAGTTAAATTCTTCCAGTAAAATTAGTGCTGATATGGACTCAGATTCTTTTGATAAAAATAATGGTGTCCAACTAGACTCTTGTAAAAATAGTGACATACAAGTAGATCTTTCTGATAAGAATAATGCAGTTTTGCCCTTAAACCTTGATGATGGAAATAGTATGGAAGATTTAGGTAATCAAATTCTACAAGAAGAACTTGATCTTTCAGGAAATAAGTGTTGTCAGAATACAGCCGCAACTGAAAAAAATGAGAATTTGAATCTGACAAATTCATGCGAAACAATATTAGATGAAAGTAATAGTTCTGAAACAAAGAAGAAAAGGGGCAGGAAAAAATCGGTTACTAATCTCACTTCAAAGAAAAAGACGTGTCCAAAAGTAAAATTAACTGTGGCTAAAAATCTTAATTCTTCAGCTAAAAAAGGTTCCATAAAATGGTATTTTTCTGAGCGAAAATGCTCAACTGACTCTATTCCTGATGCCTCTGATTTGTTAAATTCATTTGAGGACTCTTCTAATCAAAAAGACTCTGTTACTATTACTTGTGCCACTAAAACTCCAGCGAATTCTTCTACAGTAAATGTTGATACAACTGAGGATAACTCTGATGTTTCAAAAAGTATAGAAAACTGTGATAAAACTTTGTCTAATAATTTTAATGTTCAATCTGAAAACCTCCCTGTTCCACCTGTCGTAGTTAAGGAAGAACCAATGGATATTGAAGAAATGCCATTGATTGACTTTCCCAGCTCTTCTCTGAACATTAAAATTGAAGAAGCTCCTCCCGTGGCAGATAATAGCTCTACAGTAAAGAAGTCAAAGCGTTCAAAGAAAGCTCCTCGGCCATTCTCTCCTGACATGAATATCGCAAGTCTAGCTATGAAGAAAGAACTGAAAACTGTGGAGGATATGAAAGGTAATTTTTTTTTATTATTATTATTACTATTATTCATTTTGCTGATCAGACGTAAGTGAATGTTTGTTTCATTGATTATTTATTTCAAGAGCCTGTTCAATGCCTACGCTTTAATTATTTTAATTTAATTAATTTTCACACATAAACAGACTGATGGATATTTATGCTACTTGGCATTATCTATTTACAGATTTAAAATGTAAGCCTGTTGCTCTATCGAAATGTGAAGCTTGCAGCTTATCTTAAGCTAAATTACTAGCTAAAAACGTTTTGGACAATATTATATTCTATTCTGCAATTGACACTTGAAAAATTATTCGTTATACCTTAGCTTCTACATTTGTATACTGTTAATCTATTTCTTTACATAAGAACATTTGAAAGCCACCAATAATAAATTGTAACAAGCATTTTGAATTTACAATAGTTAATTTTGATCCATGCTGATGATAGTTTTCAAGAACTATTTTAAAAATCATTAAACTTATCAAAATATAATAATTTTTTAAGATACCACGAAGCAAATACGTAAAGACATTGTAGTTGTCGGCACCAGTCACTTCAATGAAAGCCGATAATTTTACATTAGTAGAAAGGCTGAATATTTGACAGATGCTAAATATTCTAATTCTTTTGCAGAGCACCAATCGTTGACTGATAATAGGGGAATGTGTCGTTCTTTCATTCAGAGAAAATTAATGATACCTTAGGTACAATGCACGATAACTTTCTCTTTCAAAGAAATTGTAATTTGAATAATTTTTAAGAAACTTTTGTTGCCAAATAGCTTTGCAAATTAAGCCTATTGTTTTTAAAACATGTTTTCACCACTTAATTTTGAAGTGATTTTCGGAAATGAAATAAAATGTAATTAAATTTTTGTTAGCACAGTCCTACTCTTGATATCCCAAGATTTTATATCTCGAAAACCTTGTTATGTCAAAAAAATATTTTTTCCTCTTGCCATTCATTACATATCCAATTGTTAATTTGAGTTCCTATGCGAAGAGTTTCTCCTCAAAACCTCTTTTTGTCAAATATTTTCCAAAACGGGAAATGATTTTTTTTTAAAGGCAAAATCACAACGTACGTTTGTTGTAGACCAATTCTTTTCTATTTAATGCATAATTATTTTTGTCTTTTGAAAATTATCATTGCTGTATTTAAACTTAAAGTCAACTATCATTACATGCATAATTATTAGCAATTATTCTTTTGTTTCATGAAGCTACTTTCTATAGTTCTATTTTATAATAAATTTTTCTACTTTTTAGAACATATTTATCTTTTTACTTGTTATCTCGAAAACTCACTATCTTGAAATTTAGCCTTCCTATAACAGGGATGAGATTCTTCCGCGGATCCGCGGATTTCCGCTTTTTTTCAGATTTTTCCATTTTTCCCGCTGATTTCCGCTGAAATTTTTTTTTGCACAAGTTAAAATATTTTATGAGGAATTTAATTTTCCACGGAGCGAAATTACTGAAGTCTTTATTCCACCCTCTGAAGTTTCTCTAAAAATCATTTCCTTGGGATAAAACTGGTTGATCTTTATACAGGGATGAGATTCTTTTTGTCTCTCGAATTTCAACCTTTTTATCAAAAACTCCGATTCTCTAAAAGTTTCGTTTTTTTAATAAATATCTCGCTTTTTTTTTTAAAATTCAGTCATTGAAGTAAAATAATTATATTTATTTACGATTTTCAAAGATAAACAGAAAATTCAAACTACGTCCTAGCTGCTAACCCTTCCGCATTTTTACTTATATTAGCTATTTTCTCCGATTTCACGCACAGAAAATAAGATTTTCCGTATTTTTTATCCGTCGGCGGGATAGCTCGTATTTTCGTAATTCAGACGTCGCTGCTTCTTGTATTCTGGCGTGAAAACAAACAAAAAAATAGAAAAAAATATATAGGTGGATTTGCGGTGAAAATATTTATTTGCTCATTCAATTAATCTTGTAAATTTTTATTTATTATGTCTAAACAAAAGCAATACAAACAAGCCTTTTAGAAATTTCAAGTCCAGACTCTGCAAATAACTCGATTTTTATTCACGCGATTTTAATATCAATCATCGATTTTCGTATTTACCTGATTTAAAAGTTGCGCATTGCGATTCTTATTTGCGCTATTTAAATATCGTACATTATGATTCTTATTTACGAGATTTAAAAATCCAATATCGTGTTTTGTATTTATGTATTTTTAAAATTGCGATTTTATTATCAAACATCGATTTTCGTATTTACCTGATTTAAAAGTTGCGATTAACGTTGCGATTCTTATTCAGGCGATTTAAATATTGTACATTGCGATTCTTATTTACGAGATTAAAAAAACCAATATCGCGATTTGTATTTACGAGCTTTTAAAACCCTATGTAGCTACGCGAGCTTAAAATCCAATGTCGTGATTCGTTTTTGCGGTTGTAATATCGCGCGATTTAAAAATTATGCATCGTGATCTAAAAAATACGCATCATGATTTGTATTTTGCGCATTTTTTAAATTCGATGTAGAGTTTCAAATTCACGTGATTTAAAAGCCTCATATCGGGATTTATTATCACATGGTTTACAAGTTTAAAAATCGAACTTTTTTTGTCAAATTTTTGTTTATATATATATATATATATATATTTATTTTTTTTTCTTGGATTTCCTCTTTTTTACTTTCTGACTACTCTCATCCCTGCTATAACTTATATAGATAGACGAGATATAGAGAGTATACTGTATACCAGGATGAACTGCTTAAATGATGTAGTTGTCTGAAATTCAAAACTGGACTTGGTGTATTGTTCATTATAATGTTAGGGTGTCGTTGAATGCATAGAGTATTGAATACATGACCTTTTAAATATCAAATTCTAAACTACTTTAGTTTCTTGTGTTTCTTTTGAAACAACTCAATTTATGTAACCATTGCTTTACATTTCTTGTTTTACTTTTTTTCATATATAAAACAGAAGAAGTGTCTTCGTCTTTTATGATGACACCTCGTGGGAAAAGTTTTTCACTTGAAACTGTTGCAATTCCTTTCACAATGGGTAAGTAATTCTAGTTTCTGTTTGCATTTTTTTTTTCACCATATATACAGACATGTGATTCTTCCTCTAATTTGCATAATTCTACAAATCACTAGAGCGTATCATAAAGTAGTTATTCAACATCGTAATTAAAAATTCTTCATAAAAGAAATCAAAATTTTAAAAGTTATGTGGAAGTCGCAAACTGTTGAAAATGCCATCAACAAAACCGTGTGTTCAATAAAATTATTGCATATGGGGTGCATCAAACAGTTATTCTTCAAATGTGTAATTCGAAGCTCAGTAATAAAAAGCAATCAATAGAGCCTCATAAGTTGACAGGTGTATCGTCAATGATCCAGTGTGTAAAAAAGTGGTCCTTCAAATACATTATTTGAAATTTCTCGCATGTGATAATGAATCATTAATAACTAAGAAAATCTGTGGCAATGACTAACGGAAATATAATCAAAAATTTACAAAATCCTGATAATGTTATGATATGAGGATTTCAAATCTCGAATACCTGAATATTCACTGTTTGAAGTGTTAATTATACAGTAGGGAACCGATTATCCGGAACGATCGGGGCCATCGCTTTTCCGGATAACTGATATTTCCGGTTTTCGGAATCACTACAAAAAGCCGTTTTTTTTTATTGTTAAACCCAACTATAAAAAAAAAATTGGAAATAATCTTAGAAAGAAGAAAAAACAATTAAGTGATACACTAATGATGGTAAGGTGAACATCTTTCAAAAAGGAAAGGAAAATCCTAAAATCTTATGAATAAAAAAAATTAATGGCGGGAAAATTTATCGAATTTCGTTCCAGTTTTTTGGTTTTCCGGATAACGGGCTCTGTACTGTATCTTTTTTTTTTTTTTTTCAATTTTTCCGCAGTTATCACTTGATTGTTGCAAATTTTTCAAATTATAATTTGTTAGAACATGTGAACCTCGAATTATACATTTATTTAATTCCCTTTTGTCGCCTACGATCGGTGTATGCCAAATTTGCACAAATTGCCGCTCAAATGATTCAGCTCTTTAAATATGTAAAGAGAGTTTTCATCGTATATACACACGGGGAATTATCATCAGACTTTTTTCAATTTTTGTCGTAGATTTCTAAATTTTTTTTTTTTTTCTGATGCAATGACAATTTATGAAATGCGAAAAAGGTGGAATGTGTACATTTTTCATGTGTATATATTCTTTTACTTTTGTGCATGAAAATGACAGTTTTTTATTTATTTTCTATGTATTTAAAAAGATAAAAAATTAAGCACTTAAAAAATATGGGGGGAAAATTTCAAATAATTTCTTCCACCATATGTCTGTGTGCTGTTATAAAATTGTCAGTAAGCTCTCCTTTTTAATTATCTCCATTCTAATCTAAACAAACTCTGATTGAAATAATCCTAAAATGCAGTCATTAAATCTTTTTATTCTTGATCTTGTAAAATCCAATCAACAGGAGTCATTGTATTCTGGATCTGAAAATTAGAAGCAAGGAATATGATTTTCTGCGAATATTGCAGAATTCCGCGAATCTCCAGACCATTTGATTGCAGACTTCGGCAAATCAAAATCAATCTGGCGGAATTTTGAAACTTTTGTTGTATATCCCCTAATTCTTCCGCTGACCTGATTCTTTTGGTTTGGCAGAATTTTGTCATTTTGAATATTTGGAACTGTGCTGGAATCTGTTAGTATCAGGATTCTTATTCACACTATTTTAATATTGAACATTGCTTTTTGTATTAATCTGATTTAAAAGTTTCGCTGAAATTCATTTTTAAAATCCCATATTGCGATTCGGATTCACAGGGTTGTAATATCAAACATCTATTTTCAGATTTATAAGTGGTATAGAAATTATGCATCGCAATTCAGATTCAGGCCATCTTAAAATTATGCATTGAGACTTAAAACTTCGATATCGTTCATATTCACACAATTTTAGAATCTAATGTCACAATTCACATCCACACGATTTTAAAATCCAATATCTCGATTATTATTAGAAGTAAGTTTTTTCCCTGATTTAGTTACTATAAAGGTGTGATATTCTTCATTGCTAGGTAATTTATTTATAAATGTTAATGCAAAACATTAGTAAGTTAAATATGAAATGTGTTTGATCTATAAATTGATGACTTTATATCAATTTTTTCCTCTTGAAGTTTTCAGGATTTTTTACTTTGTGTCACAATGACCCCTGAATCAAGATGAATACATAGATAGCAGGCAGGCAGGCAGTCCATGGACTGCCATTACAGTAAACAAATCAATCTAGCAAATGGATTTTTTTTTTTTTTGTAATTTCTGCAACAATTTTGAAAATTTTAAAATGGTGGTGAATTTATATAGTTTGAAAACATTTAACTCTGATTATTATTTCAGGTTGGTCTCGAGAGTTGGTTCATAGAGCAAATCAAGAATGTAAATCGGGCAAAAAAATGTCTGACGTCTATTACTTTGGACCAGATGGTAAAAAACTTGTAAGTAATGATGTTTTTTATCCTTCATTCTCTGTAGCCGATTCCGACTATGTCTCTTTTATGAGATTAATGCAACATAATAAAAAAAGGTTGAGTAAAAGCTATTACGTTCAAACCCTCCACTGGGTATTTGCTACTAAAATCAAGAGAAGGCTACTATTTCTTCCAAAAAAACAGCTATGAAGGCTACTATTTTTAGAAAATGACAACTAATTTTATGAACACAATGTATTCCAGGGTACTTGCATATTACTGCATTCATTTAATCCCTACCCTGGCCCAAGGTTGTCTCTAGCCTGAAAAACCAGTTTTTCTAATCCCCTTTACCTCAAGTGTAGAAATGGAATTCTGCATGTTTCATTTACATTTCATTACAAAGGCTTGGCCACTAAAATACCTTTAATGGACCATGGGTTAAAAACTCCTACTTTGTTATGTAAAGAGTTCCTAAGACTCCACTTTTACTAGAAACCCACACGGATTTGGGAAAACAGGGGAAACCCAAAATTATCAACAAAAAAAAATTTTTTTTTAATAATTTATTTAAAAAATTTATTTTGACTCTTAAAAAGCAGAGGAAGTAGCAATTTTTTGCAAAAACTTGGAAAATCCTACATTATCCTTGAAAAATAACCAGTCTCAGAATTTTCAGTAACTGTAATCAGTTATTGAGATTTGAGTCAAATAATTTTAGCATCTTATACAATTATTTGTTGTAAAAATTTCACTTTTTAATGGTTCCACAACCATGCAATCCTCCTCATTCAATGCTATTTTTGACTCTCAAAATTTAATATCTGACATTAAAAATAAAGATCAGTCTCCTGACAAAAAAATTTTATGATATCGATAAAATATGGTCTGGATTTTTATAGAAATTATCCTGACATACCTGAAATAGTTGGAGTTTTTTTTTTTTTTTTTTTTTNAATATTTTTTTTTTTTTTTTTTTTTTTCTCCATTATGCTTTTTAGCAGTTTTTGCACTCAAGTTGAACAGTCTAAGACAATTTTAGACTTAATGATTTGTTTTACCTACCATATTAAAAATGTTGAAAACCCTAAAAGAAATATCCTTATTACTACTCCTTTTAAAATTTAGCTAAAAAGTTGCATATATGTCATTGATTTGGATTGTTAATTTATTCTGTTCCCTCAAGTTTGTTTTTTCTCTCTTTTAATGTTCACCTTTTTACTAAATTTTATTTAAATCCTCACTTCTGTTATTTTGTATGGTCTAATCTATTTATATTTTCTTTTTCTTGCAGAGGTCTATGCCTGAAGTTTTAGCTTACTGTAAGTACTTATTTCTCACATTTGAAAATGAATTTGTATGTTATTTAAGACTTTTTATTTTTCACATATTTTATAAATTTAATGTGATTAAATAAAGTTTTCAACATTAAGAGAACCTAAATAGCATTTAGTTAAATTTGAAATTCATGATTAGCTTAGCAAAGGTTGTCATGTATTAACTAACTTAAAGGAGCCTCTGAAGTTTGTTGTTGGATTAATTTTGAAATAAAAATTTTATTTTTTACATTAATTTTTAAATTCTTATGCTAATAATAAAGTGCTCTGTCTTGTACGAAAAAATACTCTAAAGCTTTTATGGACACCTTTTCTTTTCTCCTATCTCTACAATTGTAGCTTTGTTCTTAATATGAAAAAAATGAAAATTTTGAGCTGTGAAAAATATAATAATGTATTTTGAACAATTATTATTTTATAAAATGCTGTATTTTGTTTCATGTGCTAAATTTTAATATGCAGTAAAAAATTTACTTACAACTTTTCAATTATAATCTCCAATGAAAGTAATTTTAATTAATATGGTTGCTTTCTTCTAGACTTGTAAATTAATGATGAAATACAACAATGTTTACTAGAAATAATATTTTCTGTTATACTGTGTTTTTCAAAACAATGTCCACCAAAATTTTTTTAAATGAAATTGCTATTTCAGGCAGTAGTACACTAAAACTACAAAATACTATATTGGGATTAACATAATGTTGTAATTAAAAAATTGCAGTGTATACTTAGATTCAGTTTGAAAGTAATATAAATATGTCGTAAATGTTTTTTTTTTTTTCTGGTTGTGTATTTATAATTTAATCTAAAATTCTGCTGATATATTAACGTTTAAAATTTCACTAAACATGACATTTCTTCTTTCCTTAGATTAATTTTAAGTATGATAAATTGAGCAGGTCCTAAAATAAATAGTATTTTTTAAGTGTTGTATGTTTGTTGCAACTGGTATGAAGCTTCTTTTTTTTTTTTTAATGTGTATTAGCTATGCATTCTGTTATTAATAGCTAACTATTTTTTTTCCAGTGTCCAAGCATAATATTAAGGATTTATCTAATGCCAATTTTACTTTTTCAAAAAACCTTATCTACAGAGAACCATTTGAAATTGAGCGTGATGCTAAACAAAAATCAGCTTTTGCTCCATCGACAAAAAGCAATAGTAGTGCAATAAAGATTTCTGTTTCACCAAAGAAAAAGGCAACTACAAAACCTGTTAAATCTCAATCTGTTATAATGTCTGAGAGTGCCAGTCCTGTACCAAAATCTGAAAATACTCCAAAGAAAAAGAGTGTATCTAAAGCAAAGAAATTACCTATATTGCCCAGCTTAGAAATTACGCCTATCACATCTAAAGACGAATCTAAGAAACCTGTAGTGAAAAGAGGCAGGCAAACTTCTGTCGATAATGCAGGCTCTGATAAACATTTATCTCCGGCACAAATGAAACCCAAACTTGCTGACAAACCCAAATCAGCAAAAAAGACTTGTAAACGAGCTTGTGATAATATTCCTGAAAAGAAATCTCCTACTAGGAAAAGTAATCGTCTATCTACCGCTTCAATAGAAAGTGGTCTTTCCGAGTCAGAAGATCTTTCTCTTGTAAAAAGAAGAAAGCTTTCAAAATCTGGTACTAAACAAACATTAAATAAAGACTCTTCGAAACCTGGTGATGTGTTTTTGAATAGTAACTGTATTGCACAGAACACTGCATCTAAAAAACTTATTAAAGTGAAATTTCCTTTTCATAAGCTGTAAGTATCATTTTTTTTTTATAATGAAATTGTATATTATATTAATTCTTCTGCCAATGCATCTCCAAAATATTTCCTTTAAAAATTGGTGTTCTCTCATACTGCAAACGATATACCTGTTTGTGTCTTTACGTCTACAATAAAACCCTGATTACTTCACTTCAGTTATCTGACATCCCTTCTGGCCGGAGTAAATAAGTTTTCCAGTGCTTATCACCATTTTTACAGCTGATATTACCTCATTACTACTGGTAAAAAAATGACTAAAAAGATAATTAAAGGGGTTATTTATGATTAAATAATAAAACGAAAGTGTTTTATAATTATTATTTGAAAAAATAACTTAACTGTAATTTATACTCTTAAATCTAATTGTAAAGTTTCCCCATTTAGCCATCAATTTTCCGATTTACCACTGGTCTCGAAGGTGTGGGGTAATCAGGGCTCTACTGCACTGAGTATATAGATTGATTTGTTATTGATGTTAAAAATGTGCATTACTTTGTCTATTCCTGTTTTGTTAAATTTTAAGAAAATCTTAAATAGTTATACATGTTATGACTATGTTAGATACTTTCATATTGAAAGTCTTTTATATTTATGTTATTCATTTTAGTAATTTACAAATAATACTTAATCAATTTTTCTTTTATAATTAATAATAAATTAACTCGTTTAAAATAAGTTTTTATAAATTGTGGTCATTCATTGGTCAATTTTTTTTAAGTTATTTGTTGTCATAATTTATAGAGTGTGTCTTTGATTCTAATTCCTCTTTAGTTTTAATTCAGAAATATTTTTTTCCTTAAAAGTAATTTCTTGTAAAAATATTTATTTATTTTTCTTGTTTGTCATATAAAATAAATATACTCTATAGTAGAAATTTGATAATTTGCATTGATGTTAAAATGAAATTTTATCTTAAAAATAAACAAAAATTAAGTGAAACAGTTTAATTTTTAATTGAAATTAATTTATTTGTGCTTATTCATTCATTACTATGATGTGATTAATGTTTATTACTTTAAAATTGCATTTGGTATTCTCAAAAGGCTCCTATATAATCAAATATATCAAATGCATTCCAGAAAAAGAGGCATTCAGAAAAAAAATTTTGAAATACTACTCTTATTACTTGTTTGTATAAATTGTCGCATGTTTATTTTGAAACCAAAAGTCAGTTTTAAATCTCATTCTGCCTAATATGAAACAGTTTCATTTGGGATTAACGTTGAGGCATTAATCAAGAATTCTTTTTTATCTTTTACTTGTTTATATTTTTTTTTATCTTAATCAGATGGATAGAGACAAGAAAAATTTATCTTATGGCACTTGTGAATTCTTTATTTTGTATGTATCTAGTCTAACAAAGAAATAGAATAATATTAATTATCATGTAGATATCACCGTGAAGATATCATTTCTAATTAATATTTTCAATAATGTTTGGTTGGTTTGTAGATTTGATTTAACCACAAATATATATTTCATATTATCTTATTTAAACACCAATTTCCATTGTTCTTATTGCTTCTATATCTTAAAAACCAAATGTGAAACTTAGGTAGATATGAATCTAAAACTTTTTTTCATGTCTAGAATCAGCAAACTTATGTTATTTTGTGATTTAACATTTTAATTAGATTACCAGAAATTTAATTTTAAAAAAAAACAACAGACATATAGTTTTATAATTAAGACTTGACTCCCTGAATGTAATGCCATCTCTGAATTTGTTTACTTTCTATTGATTAAAATGTGATCCTGAGATTACTCTGTGAACTCGCTTCCTTCTTTTGCGTCATTCTTATTTTATTGCGACATTTGGAAAGCTTAACTAAGCAGCAATGTAGTAAATTCTTGCTCTTGTGCCATTCAAATCTACATTCCTTCCATCCTTGAATTCATAAACAAATTTTTTCCATGCAGATTCTAAAATTACATATTTTAAATTTTTATGGGGAATTAAAGCAGTAGAATTTTTTATATCTATTCTTTATACAGAGTTTTAAAAAAAAGAAGCATTTAATCTTTGGATTTTTATTTTCTTTTGCCTCTTTTTTTTACAATAGTGATTATTTTTTTTAAATTGTGGAATATTTTTTATTCAAAATAATCACTAAATAATCCGTAGGTTTTAAATTAAATAAATTATTTTTGATTTTAACTCATTCATAAGTTCATACTAGTATTTATTTAATTCCCCAAGTGTTGCATCTGTGACCAAATTTTCAAGAAATTTCCTTGAGCAGTGGAGGTTTATAATAACACGTAACTTACTGTTGGTATGTCCTTGATTTCTGTTTGCATCTGTTGCCCAGCAGAATCAAGCTTTTGAGACAATTACGAACTAAGATAAAATTCTTAATTCGTAAAATTAGTTCTTGGGACCGTTCACTAATTGTGAATAATAATTTTTTTTTTTCATCTGTCTTACTAGATTTGTGATTAGCAGAAAATTCAGCATTCTTGAGTTATTTTCTGAAAGAAATTTAATTATCCAATCAAGTTATAAGTAACAATGGTTCAGAGGGTGCCATTAAAATTTAATGATATTATAAAAATATGTTGTATTAAGCCCATATTTTTAATAAGCTGCATCAAGGTATAATTTATTATTCATATCTTTGTTCTTAATTATTCACGAACTAAAATAGTTTCTTTCAATTTCGAAAATTCAAACGAAAGCAAGAATGAAATTGCTCTTAAAGAACAGCAGCAGATGGACACAAATGACGTCAGTTTGAGATTCCCTGTTTCAGATTAAAACTAACTTTACATTTGTTGATTAAAAATAACGTAATAATTAACACTCTTAGAGAAGTAATAAAATGTTTTCTGGGATTTTGATTGATTCTGAATGCATTAAGATTTTTTTTTAAATTTACTCTTAATTGTGCATTATTCACAGTAGTTCTGATCAGGGCTGGGTTTTTGCCGTCAAAAACTGGTTTTTGACACGACAGTGGTAAAAACCGTCAAAAACCTAATGTTTTCTTTAATTTATGGCATATAGCGGACAATATATTATTTTCCCTTAATTGCCTTTATAAATGAATGATGTAAACAATTGCTATAGATTTTGCAACTATATACATGTATTCTTATAGAAGGATATACATTCATACAGAAATATTGTAATATACTTATTGAAAATAGTGATACTTGTTTAACTTTTATCATTATAGCTTAATTTGCAAAGGATTAAAAATTTTGTACTTCGTAATTGTTAGAAATAAACAAACAAGAAAAAAACTTGGAACTATTAATAAATTAAAGAACTAAAAAGAAGAATTTAATATTTGGCATTTCTTAAATATTAGAAATAAGCTAAACAAAACTTTCAAAACTTGTAATTACTAACAAACTCTAAGTCAGGAATGACTTGACATTCTTCAATAATATAATATGCCAAACAAAATTATGCTTGAAAATGTTGAAAATTTTGTTTAGTATCCTAATATTTTATTTCAAATAGTATGATTTGATATAATCATGTTGAGAAAATGCAAAAATCTGTTCTTAAATATCCATTAGCAACTTTTTTTCTAATTTTATTGCCCAAAAATGAATTTTAAATCATAAGCAGTTAAACTCAAATTAAAATACAGTTTTATCAAANTCAATCTTTTTTTTTTGATAAATAATAATTTAATATTGTATCAATGATTGATTTTTTTTCTTCTTTTTCCTTTTAAATTTTAATTTCCTATTTTAATATTGAATGGCTTTATTTTAGAATGTTTAATTATTTACTACTCTTTATTATCTGCAAATATTTAAATTTTATTCTATTAGCAATTTTGTACAGTAATTGGTATATATTTTTAAAATTTACTTTTTTTGTGATCTCTTATAAAGCGTAATAGAGAATTTGTTGTTTATAGTGTGTCAGAATATGTTCGTTTTAAGGAGAGAGAAAATGAGATATTTCATTTATTAATGCTTAATATAATATGTATATATAACACTGTATGCAGAAATGTTCTTTGTGTTTTTCTCTTTCTTTTACAGACTTCTAGCTCTAAATCAATAATATTCTGATTCGGGTTGAGAAACACTGATTTTAATATAAACACTGTTATAAAAAGGCATGTTTTTTAAATTCATTGTATGTATACTGTATTGATGTGTTTAATAAAATCTTTTTTTAATAAGAACTGGGTTATTTTTCTGGTTTTATTGAATATTTCATATAATTAAACAGAACTTTTGTTGCAAAATGTTTTCTATTAAATTATCAGTGTTTCTCAACAGCCAATCTTTTCAAAAATAAATATTATTAATTGAATTATTTTAATATGAAATAAATGTTTAATATCTTTACAGTATTGAGATTCACTGATAATTTATTATTAAGGTTTTGCTAAAAGCTTCTTTTTTTTTCATTTACGAAATATAGTATAGTATGCAAAAATGTATTGTATAGTAAATGTGTAGTTTGATTTACTCGTCAAATATTAACATGTCAAATATCTATATTATCGTAAATACTTCTAGTTATTATGAGCAGTCAGTTTGTAGTGGTGGGCAACTTTTATCAGGGGTTGGCCTCTAGATTAAATGAATTTAAAAATTACAAATTTTTAAGGGTTGCAAATTTATTCAATTTTTATTTAAAATAAAAGCAATGTAATTACCAATGGGAAACTAAACTTATTTAATTTTCTAAAAATGTGTTAATCTACTTAAATTGAAAAAAAATGTACAAGATTACAGCGTAAAAATATATTTTTTTAAAAAAACATTTCTACATAAGCCAATTTTAATATTTTTGTCTTTGTAATAATTACACCCTTTGTTTTTAAAATAATTCCTGAAACTGCAGTTTTAACAATTTCTTCAAAATTTAATTTCCTCAAATTAATAAAAAAGAATTAGATTTTTTTTTGCAATTTGAATATTTTGTACAGTTTAAATGATTATAATAGTTTTAAAGGTACAGTGTTTTTAGGATTTATTACAATTTTTAGCTAGAAACGGGAGGTCACATTTAAACTATTTGCGGACCACATTTTGTACATCTTAAGACAAAGGCTAAAACATCAAGCAGGTAAAAGTTAGGAAAATATATTTAAAAAAAACTAATACTGTGGATTTAAAAGAGGGGGGAAATGAAAACAAATCAGTATAATCTGGAAATACATGTGCCCCTTGCTTATACCCTAGTTATGGATCTCCTACTATAAGCATGCTAATCATCAGTAGCAATGCTAACTAATTTAAATGTACATGAACTGATGCATATCCTTTTAAAACATTTTTTATTATTTTTGTTATGGAAATAATATGGCAATCATGACGTGAGAGATTTTAATTGTTAAGCAGTATTATATATTATTAAAAAAGAAAAATCCATCCTGCCATTCCAAGGAAAATGGACCACCCCTAATAACTTTTTCACTAATGATCGAATCTTAAAATAATCTAAGACTCATTCCTAATAGTTCGAAGAGGTGACCTCAATACGCTTATTAGTTAGTGCAGGTGATATTTCAAGTTAGGAAATCAGACGCAAAACCATATTTTCTCTAAATAAAAATATCTTTTCGACAGATTCAGATTTCTAACTCCTATGTATGGGAGTAGTCACAATCTAGGAAATATGGTCTTAATAGTATGGACCCTCTAATGCAGTGGCTCCTAAACTTTTTTGACCCATGGACCCCCTGACATTGTTCAGGGACCCCTAAATCAGTTTTTATTTTTCACGGACCCCTGGGGGGTTCATTTGGACCACTTTGGGAAGCACTGCTCTAATGTAAATTTTTTTTTTTGTGTATTTCGTCGTATCTTGATAATTTTTTAAAAAAGGAATTTAAAAACTTTTACGTGCAATTATAAAATTCGTTTACCAAAGTATATTCGAAAATTCCATGTATAAATTTTTTTAAATATTTTTTATTTTATTGAATAATAGTTCAAAACATTTTGAATTGTTAGGTATACGCTTTTTTACGTCATTTTAAAATAGCTAATTTTTCATGGCGAAATACAGAATTTGAATGAAATTGGTTAAATAGTCCCTGAGAAATCAAATTTTAAAAAAGTGATCGATTCAAATTTGGATTCCTTGGGAATTATTCAACCGATTTCACTCAAATTTTGTATTTTGCCATGAAAATTAAATTTTTTAAAGTGATGTAAAAATTTTTATACCTTACAAATAAAATAAAAAAATTCAACTTATTAAATAACTAAATGCTACGTGAAGATCCTATCATTAAATCAAAAGTTATTGAGCATGGACCTTTCTCTTTTTTTTTTTTACCCTGTAAAAATAAATACAATTGTTTCATCATCTTTTTTTATATCTAGATATTGATGTAAATTAAAATTACTTCATAACCATGCCTTTCAAATCTTGAATATATGTATTGCCAAGATTTGAAAAGCGAAAACAATATAAATATCAATTATTTGTTACAGAATAATTCTTATTTCAAAAAGAATCATGAAAATGTAATAAAATAATATCTCCATCCCCATTTGTGCATGATGTCTGAAATACTGATGTGGTGCACTTCAATTATTGCTGAATTGGAAAAATGAATACCATTTCTTTACATTTTAATGATTTTTAATTCAAAATCATTAGAATTAGTTGGATTTTCATTTAATTTTATAAACAAAATTATAATTGAGTATCTACAGTCTTTTATAAAAAAAAATTGACATAATGCTTGCTTTGTTAGATTAAAAGAAATAGGTCTTAATTATATTTATTACTTCTGTGCAAAAATTTAAAATAAAGATATGTTGTTAGTAATTTTAAAAATACTGTAGAGTTTAAACTTTTTAGATTTTTTTATTTGTACTTACCAAAACCATTTTAGATAATTAAAAAAAAATCATGTTGTCTGGCAATATTAAATGGTTCAAAAATCGGGAATATTGTGTTAATAATTGGGAAAAGTCATGATAACTTATAATTTGTTATATTGGGGTCTCTTGTCATTTATTTAAAAAATAATTGCACACTATTTTCATTTCTATTTTAAGTTGTGGTTTATTTTTATATTATAAGGTAATTGTTTGCGGTGTACTAATAATGATTTTTTTTCCCTTGCTGCTTAATGTTTATTAAAAAATTAGATAATTTATAGAAATTGTGCAAAAACAAATACTGTAATTCTACTTTATTCATTTCATAATTATCTTTATTTTATTATTGATTAACCATATTCCCTTCTTTTTAATTAAATCTGCATCTGTAATTATTTTCTTTTTAAAAGTTTGAAAAATAGAATAATATTAACACATGTGCCCTCTAAAATTAGTTAAAATTTGTATAATTGATTTTATACTTACTATTAAATTTTAGATGTTCTTCTGGAGAAAAAAAGTCATTCTTTGTATTTTTGCATTTGTCAGGGATATTTCATACAGAACAATGCCAGAAATTCCTTTTATGTAAATTTCTTCAAAACATAGTTTTTCTCTTTCTTTNAATTTTAAAAAAAAAAAAAAAAAAAACTAGATTACCTTTTTGTAAATATTGATCTCAGAATTGTATTGGTATTAGTTTGCAGGAAAAAAATCATTCAAATTTAAAGAGCCATACTTTTTTCATTCCTTATTGTGCATGGATCTGAAGTCAAAAAAATTTCGAAGTTCCACTGCCAGATAATAAACTGAAGTTGCGGCAAGTTTACTATATATTTATACTCATTTTTAAGTTACAAATTTTAATCTGAAATTTTTTTTAGAAAAAACAACTTTTTATATTAAAAAATGTAATCATTAGTTCACACAGTAAATACAAATTTATTCACAGTTGAGTTATTTGTTCAATGTTAACAAAAGAGTGGAATGTAAAGTTCTCCTTCATATTTAATCTTAAATTATTATAAATGTATTAGTATTGCTGAGAATAAGGGAAATTAGCTTAATATAGCATTAGAAAAAACTAAAAGATAAATTTGAACTGTTTTTTCTCATTATGATTTTTTTTTATAGTAAATTGATAAGTTATGTTATTTTATAAACCTGCAATTGAGGTATAAGACAAAAAATTTATTTTGTTATTTAAAAAAANTGTAGCTATTTAAAAAAAAAAAAAAAACTAGATTACCTTTTTGTAAATATTGATCTCAGAATTGTATTGGTATTAGTTTGCAGGAAAAAAATCATTCAAATTTAAAGAGCCATACTTTTTTCATTCCTTATTGTGCATGGATCTGAAGTCAAAAAAATTTCGAAGTTCCACTGCCAGATAATAAACTGAAGTTGCGGCAAGTTTACTATATATTTATACTCATTTTTAAGTTACAAATTTTAATCTGAAATTTTTTTTAGAAAAAACAACTTTTTATATTAAAAAATGTAATCATTAGTTCACACAGTAAATACAAATTTATTCACAGTTGAGTTATTTGTTCAATGTTAACAAAAGAGTGGAATGTAAAGTTCTCCTTCATATTTAATCTTAAATTATTATAAATGTATTAGTATTGCTGAGAATAAGGGAAATTAGCTTAATATAGCATTAGATAAAACTAAAAGATAAATTCGAACTGTTTTTTCTCATTATGATTTTTTTTATAGTAAATTGATAAGTTATGTTATTTTATAAACTGAACTTTTTATAAACCTGCAATTGAGGTATAAGACAACAAATTTATTTTGTTATTTAAAAAAAAAAAAAAAAAGATTTGGGATATTAAATTAATCTGTTTATTTTTGCCACTTTTTCCTTCTTTGATGCCATGCTTTTTCTCCATTTTCAATGATTTTGAATCTTGCATTTGCATATATTAATTATTTAAGTATAAAACAACACAATATAGATTCAAAGGTAATGTTATTTTTTATTAATGTTTCAATTTTAATTAACTTAATGAATTTTAACAATTACAAAATGAATATTATCAAAGTATCTTTTAATAAAATCCTATTTAAATCAAAATATCGAATTTTAATGAAATAAATCAGATTTTTTTTTTATTTTTAAAAAATCATGATCGTAGCTTTTATCTCACTTGAAGAGATTTTACTGAAAAAAAGAAATTTTTTTGTGCCTTCCCTTTATACAAGAACAAATTAGCATTTGTTTTTTGAAGAAATTGAACATTTTTTTAATAACATTTAGTGCTGCTCTGAATTTAATGGAATTAAAAATGCTAGTGTTTAAGTCTCAAATAAAAATCAGAACCTTATTTGTTTATCAATGCAAAATAAACAGTTGGTATATTGTGCAAACATAGAAAGTTCCTTTAAGCTCTATTATCAAAAGGCAGGAGTTTGCCTTTACTCATCTTGAAAATAGGTCTATCATTAGAAAAAAAAAACTGACAAATTTGTTTCAGCATAAATATACAAATGCTTTTTATGGTTATTTAAGTAAGTGATTAATTATAAGTTTTGTTAACCCCAATATATTTTTGAAACTTTATTAAAATAAAAATGTGAATTTTTTTCTGTGTATATAGATAATTTTTATTAAAATAAGTAAAAATTTATATTACTAATGAAATATTTTTCAACTGCAGAAAAAAAAAAAATTTGTATTAGTTCACTGAATTATATTTTTTCTTTTTCTTTAGTGCTCCATTAGAGTTTTGTAGTTATCATTGTAATGTTTCCAGAAATCAAAAACATATTGAGTGTACTTCGTGCCTTCGGTTTTTCCATGAAAGCTGTATTCCAACCGTACCAAAAGAATTTCCATTTATTTGCCAGGTAATTAATTTACAATGTTCAAAAACATGGATTAATCACAATTATTTAATGGAAACAATTTGGTAATGATATTGAAACATGTTAAAGAGTCTCCAATAATCAGGTGATCTTAGGGGTGATTGTGTTCAAGGGTAATCCACATAGTAACTGCATGTATTCCTACATTGGCATGTAGGAATACATGCCAATTTTCTTAGTTTCCCTGTGAAGTGGGTAAATGAAAGATATGAATAGTTACATTTTTTTTTTTTCATTTTTAGTTGTAAATAATACACCATCCTAAATATTTTTTAATGGCTATGATAAAAAAATTATAGACTGATTGTGGTAAAATCGGTGGGGTTTTTTTTCACGATCTGTTTTAGTGTTCTTCAATTATTCAATTTTTGTTTAACTAGTAAGACTGAATTCCCCCCTTGTAAATATAAAATTTTCCCCTTGGGAAATTCTTATTGGCTAGGTTCTAGACAAGGGGAACTGCTCCTAGTAAAGTGTCTAATAGTTAATATGAAGTGCTGCATATATAATTATATTTATATATCTTACATATATATAGTAAAACCTCGCGTTACAGTCACTCCTACAAAACGGACGCCTCTCATCACAAACATATTTTTATTTCCCCGTAAATCTATGAATAAGCCATTATGTACCCTTTCCATAAAGCAAACAGTCATTTATGTCCCAAAACGTTATTTTCTGTTTCTTCAAACTGGGCACCAATTTTTCTAAATTTGAGAAAAGAATTACAGTGTATTCCCGATTATCCGGGTTAATCACTGGGACAGGTCGTACGGACAATCGAAAAACACGGATAATCTGAAAACTCCTTTTGTTAAAGAAAAATTCAACATCAGTACAAAAAATATAAAAATTACTGATATTTGCATGCATAGCATCAAACTAGGAATTTTCCTTTTTAAAAAATGTGTAATGCGTCTTCGCCATATATCGATACACATATTTTACGAACCGCAATAATGTCACCGTAATCAAATCCTCCCATATAATCTAATAAAGCTTCCACGGAGCAGCAGAGTGAGAAATTGTATTTCATTCATTTACTACATCTTCTGCATCAGTTACTATCATTACTATTTGATTTAACAACATAACGATGTCTTCATCAGTCAAATACTGGCAGCCAGGCTCACATGCATCACTTTGAAACCAATCTTCTAAATTTTCTTCATCAAGAATTTCGAAACCTTAGATTTATTTTGCTTGTTCGAGAATACTGTTATTATATTTTTCTTGAACATCTGAAGAGGATTGTTCATGAAGCGGTATGATCTTTCTCCAAGATCGAGATAACGTAGACGATTTTACCTTTGACCTATACTGCAATCCAATAACAAATATTGCTTCCAAAAATTTGGTAGTGTTATAACTTTGTGAATCTAATTTTTTTAATCTTGAAAATGTTTCTCTTTATATTTTCTGTGTGACTCCGGAATGAGCACGGATAATCCGTAAACCGGATAATCGAGAGTGTACTGTTTTTACTTTAAATTTCCAAAACAATTTCAACTTTCTACCATTTTTAAAGAATAAAAATTTTTTTTGCCTTATCTATAACTAAAAGGAATCAATCCTTCTGTCGCCTTCCTTTATCGTCACAAAGAAAGACGAGGGAATGGTATCTGCATGTGAAATATTTAGAGTAGCGGCATCTTTTCACCTGGACAACACTGGCTAAAAGACCTCACAAGCTGAAATGATATATTAAATGCTCTAACTCCTTCTCTCCACTGAAAAATTCCTTTCTTTCAATTTCACCCATGTATTTAACACATCTAAGTTTTTAAAAATATCTAGTCGTTGAAGCGTTGATATAAATTAAACATTTATTCAGACGCTTGGTAGATGATCGATTGTGAATATAACAACTCGTCATAGAGCCTAGTGCCTTACGGGTATGTGTTATTACTTTCTTTTTTCTAGGTATCGCAGGAGGTTTACATTCAGGGAGGTCTTACCCCGTTTCCTATCAAGTGATGGAGAGGTGTTATGAATGTAAACTTAATAATTTGAACTGACTTAAAAAGTGACATATGACTAAAAACCTCTATTCGGTATCATATGACTAACTTGAACTTCTGTGTAAATAGGAAAAGCATATTAATTTTTCTGTAGCTACTTTTAATATTATGAAAATATATCGAGCTTTTTCTTTTTGTAATGAAAAAAATATTTTTTTAAGTTTAACTAAATGTCAATGTAAATTGTTATTATAGGTTATTTAATTATTTCTATATTGTTGCAATTATTCTAAAAATAATTTATGGTTGGTGTTAAACTTCATTATTAGTGAATCCCTGAAAATGGACAATTTTTTTTATCCCAGGAGTGTCCGTCTAATTGAGGTTTCACTGTATTTATTAAATATCCAAAGAATCCTTTTTTTTTCCTTTAAATTTTTTATCTTGAGACATAACAATTTTTTTCAGAAAATAAAGTCAATAAATGTAAATCTTTTGGAAAGATGACCTTTGGAATCTCTTCTCTATGGATCTAACTGTCAGTCATAAACCCAAATTACAGTTACATTTGTAGATTTTTTATTTCTTTTGCCTTGTATAAAGGAGGGAGTATACGGCTGTGCAATTGAAAAATCAACATAAGCATTAAGAAATTCAAAATTGAGATTTTTCTATATTTGGCATCTTTATATGGTAAGCTACATATTGCAAAGAAAAATTTCAAAAATAAGGTTTGTTTTATCAGTTTTTTGAAATTCTATTTCAGCATTCAGAGCTTCAGCAGGAGAAACGTTGTCATGCTACTTTTCTCATAATTAATCGTGAATTTTTTTTTCCAGTTGCATAGCAGTATACAGGCTTACCATTCTCCTTGTCAAGGTAGAAAATTATGAGCCAATGAAAATAGAAATCTGATAGCTATCAGATCAGTACCAGATTCATTTATTAATGAGTAAAAGAATTCAATGCAGTAAACAGAAATTCAACATTTAATCAGAATTGCACAAACATTTACAATGAACACCATGTCGATGAAACTAATTCAAAAATTTGCATCACCCATCAAATTTACAATGAATATAATAATTTGCATAATGATGCCACCTAAAATAAGTTATCAGCAATTTACTTTAAAGAATTGCAAACACTAACTAACAGAAATCCTGACATTGCAACCAACAATTAAGCTATCTAGTTGCAAGTTTCGTGGTTATTACAAGAGGTAAATAAAAAAGATAAATTGAATGTAATTTTGGTAAATAACCTCTCTGGAGGCACATTAGATGCTGTTAATCCACAGATTGTTACACCTGTCATAGATTTTTGCTAATTTCTTATCTTAATAGTATTGTTCACGTACAAATACTCTACCAAAAGGGATAAAACCAAAATTTTATGTTGTTAATTTAAAATAATTTTTTTTTTTTTACTTATTTTTCAATCGTTCATTATTGCTTATAGAAAACTTATTCAAAATCTGGCTATGGTCAGAAAATTTTTTATAAGTTTTGAAAAAAAAAGGGGGCTAGTAGGGATAGTAGAGATAATTATTACAGAAGGTTTTTAAATTGTATCTAAAAGCTTGTCGACCTGATTTAAATTTCATTCTTGCTACATGTGCTGTCCACCGCATTGAGATGAACACATTTTAAAAAGAATGTGATTATAATATATGTTAAGCTCTACATTGTATACATTTAAGTTAGATCATATTTTAAAATACTAATTTAAAGTAGCATTATTAAAATGTATTTTTTTTAATAAATTTTTGATCACTATCTAAATTAAATTTGAAAAATTTCATGCTCTAAAAAGTTAGATATTTATCATGAGATTAAGAAATTGAATATGAGCAGATCATTAAGTGATTTAGATCATATAATATGAAAAAAGGTATTCATATTATATGATCTAAACTTGTATATAAAATCTCTAAAGCTTTATTAATTTTGTTATTCTTTTTTTTTTAGACTTGTGGAAAAGCTAAAATTGCTTGTTATGCAGAACTAAGAAATGCTACATCATCATCCGCAGGGCCATTTTTGTATGATGATACAAAATGTCCAGATTTTCCTGAACATACTGATCAGAAAGTTTTGGAACCCTTCATTTGTTTGGAAGAAGGATCAAAGCATTGGGTGGATCTCCCATCTAATTGGTTGGATCTTCAACCTGATATGGCTAATAATACTTGTGAACCTCCCTCTTTCCCTTTCGGACAAAATAACCACCTTAATAATAATTTTGGATCCTATGGCGTTAAATCAAATAATTCTTCACCTCTGGTAGTTTCTTCTCCTTTGCTTTTTTCACACTTAATGAGGCCAGTTTGTCCAAATGCAGTTATGTTACCAAACATTGAAAGACCTATAACTCCAAATACTTCTGTACAAAACCTTTCACCCTTGATCCCTTTAGCATCAAAACCCATTAGTATCTCTAAGTCCTCATATGACAATTATTTGCCTGTCATTGCATCAAACCCAAATGTATTCTCTAAGCAAATTATTGTGAGAAAATTACCTCCTGGTTTCATAATCCGTACCCCAACCAATTGTCAGGTTACACCCGGAGTACTTCCTGCTAATCCTCTAATGTGTAACACTACTGGTGCTGGAATTCCACTTCAATCAACCATTTCTGCAACATCTCACATAATTAGTGATACTTATAGAATGCCCATGCATCCTATATCCTCTACAATGCCATCTCACACAATGAGTGGCTTTTATAGAATGCCACTTCAGCCTGCAACTTCTCCAGCAATATCTCACATAATTAGTGGTCCTTACAGAATACCACTACAGTCTGCAACATCACCTCAAATGATTAGTGGATCTTACAGAATGTCACATCAACCTACACCATCTACTTATGATCCTTTTAGATTTCCACTTCAGCATAAAAATACTCCAACATCTTCTTTATTTAATGATACTTACAGAACAGACATGAATTCTTCCATTCCAAGTGGAATTAAAGATTACACGAGAAAAATTGGCACTGCTACAAGACTGCAATCTGAATTACCTAGCCAAATCAAGCCAAGTAGTCTACAACCAGAATTAAATATTGTATCTCCCACAATAAATCTAAACAATTTTAAGGAAGCTAAATGCTTTGATTTAATATCCAAGTATCTGAATGTTTATGGATTGATGAAGTAAGTTATTTCTCTATAAGTAATTTTTCTGATTTGCTAATTATTCATAGTTGGCCTGTACTTTTTTCAATCTTTATTCGTAGTCAGTACATTCTGAGATTATTAAAGCACTTAGTAAAAATAAGTACAGAATGACATTCTGAAAAAAAAAGTTTAAAATTTTAGGTTTAAGACGTGTCATTGTTTAGCTTAACTTTTATCTGCTAAGTCATTGATTAAGATTTATTTAGTTTTTAAATTAACAGAAAAGAGCAGATAGTTAAATATGTTTTTAAACATATTTATATGATTACTGTAGTTTACAGAAGCTTTGGTGTTAAAAAAGGGTTCATTGCCAAATCAGAATTGGAGAAATACAACACACAATTTTTTTGCAATTATGCTAATAAAATTTTTACTGTCAATATTTTTAGGAAGATAATTTAGTATTACACCTTTGTCCGTTTTAAAACTTTTTTTTCATGCAATTTTTATTAAATGAATTTTTTTCTGCTTCATCCAAATCAATGCAAATCAAAATAAAAGTAAACTTCTAAAAATTTAGAAACTGACAAATATACTATACGAAATTACCTACTTAAAACTACTAAAAGAAACTACTAGGTACATGGCTCTAAATTCTTGAGAAAACAAAGAGTCTGCCTAAGGGAATTATTTATTTTCATTTTTTTCTAAAGATACGCTGTTGAATGACTCTTAATTATCAAATATTGAAGAACAAAAATTAAAGTTTTTAATTGAAATCCAAGATAGTAAAGAAAAAGATATTTTAATGAACAGAATTGCCATTACACTTCTACTCTTCTTAAAACCAACCCAGCTTCAAATCGTATCGGAAGTAAAATACCCAGTGCACATTGCTGACCACATTCCGTCACCTTGAAATCGTTGAGCCTTAATCTCTAATCCCATTGGCTAACAACTGGCTCTTTATTTTTTTAATTTTAAATATTCTTATTTAAGTTTATGTTTTATTTGCCCTAATTAGTATTCTAATTCAAAATTGTGTATAATACTATGATTTTTTAGCTTGGGCATTAGAGATGGTTGGTATATGACTCTACTTATAAATGTCTAAATGCCACCCATTCCTATGAGTATTTCAGACAGCGATTTATTTTAACTTTGTTTTTGCCTACTGTCAATTTTTTGTTTTCATTTTAGAAACAGGCTTTTTTTTAGATAACTTCTGGGAAAAAGTATGACTTTTATTTTTAAAGTTAATCATTCTTTCTTCACTATGAAGAAAATTTTTTTGCTCATAATTAGAAGTACATAATTAGTATTTTTAAAACTTTTGAGTTGGGAGTTGATAATATGCGACTCGAGCTGTAAAAATTTCAAGAAGTATTGTAACTATCCAATTTTATTTCTCTTTCAATGATTTTCAGTTGTTTTACTGAATTCAATGAGAAAAAAAGGTTAGAAACTGCTTATTCAGAAGTGAAAACTTGTATGCAAACTTATCAGTATCATAAAATAGTTAGAAATATTTGCATGATCATGTTATTTCAGGATGAGTTCAGTTGAATATGTCTTTAAATTGCATTATAATACTGATATATCTCTCCTTTTACTATAGAGCTTCTCAAATAAACACCTTCTGGAAGTGTTTAGTAGAACAAAAAGAGTTGGTAAGTGTTAACATTTTTGCTTAAATTTTAAAAAAAATTATTTTATGTTTTATACCCTAATATTGCTTTACTAATGAAAAAAAAATAATCAAAAAGACTTTTAATGCCTACCCCACTTATGTTTTTCAGTATTTTTATTAAATTTGTAAAATTTTAAAATGAAAAAAGGCTTAGGGACTAAAGTGAAATCTTGTCTGCAAATTCAACAGTGCCATAAATTATTTTGATTAATTTTCATGATTGTGTTAATACAGTATTTTTTTTAATTTAGAGTTACATGTCTATCTGTTGTTTATGTTTTATTTGCCCTAATTAGTATTCTAATTCAAAATTGTGTATAATACTATGATNAACAAAAATAGAGAAAGTAAAAAGGTCATCAGTACTTTGTTAAAAAAGAAAGAACAAAAATAGCTTTAAACAAAGTAGATAAGAAAATGGACGTATAATGTATATTGTTTATATTCGCCACGGATCGGCAAGTTAAAATTCTGTCCGCGGGCCGGATAAAACCTTCCACCGGGCCACAGTTGCCCCTCGGGCCGTAGTTTCCCCATCCCTGCTCTAGAACAATTAAAGACCCTTAACAAATGATTTTCTTCATAACTTAAACCTTGCCCTATTTATTTTGACTGAATTGCAAATTGTTTGAAACGAAGAAAGAATATCCGGAGTATTTACTGTATATTTATTTCAGCAATCTTATTTGTTCAAGAGTTGATGTTGTATATGATTCTATGTTGTTTTAAAACGACAGAGTTTTCCATATCCTTTAATGCAGACTGTTTTCATGTAGATGAACTTCGAAGTAACCAATTTTTCCATATTATAAAGTAGTCTGAATTTTCTTCATGAATATTCTAATTATAGAAAAAGTCTGTTTTAAAAAAAAAAAATTTTTTTGCCTACCCTCGCTTATTATAAAATTTATTTATTTGAAGGTAAATCCATGCAAAATATATATTTTTAGTAAATATTTATTATTTTATTTAGGAATGGTATAAAAAAATGTATTTAATTGCAAGTTATACAATTTTTTGAATCATTTTAACGAATGTAATTTTATATAGGGAACTGCCAAATTTAAGCAAAATTGGTGCAATAGTTCCTGAGAAATCGAATTTTTAATATCTGACTTTTTTTAAATTTAATTTCTCAGGAACTATTCTACCGATTTTGCTCAGATTTTGTATTTTATCATGTAAAATTATGGTTTTTTCAAATGATGAGAAAAATTGTATACTTTACAATTCAAAATGTTTTTAACTATTGTAAAATAATAAAAATTAATAAATATTTACTATAACTTATTTTTTGCATGGAATTTTCTTTGGATAAACAAATTTGATAACAAATTATGTGTGCAAAAACTTTTCTATAAAATACATAAAAAATTTCTAGAGATTTTACAAAATATTCAAAAAGTAAAATTAACATTAAGGCTTTCAAATTTTGGATCACTCTCCCGATCAAACTATGGAGACCATTTTCCCCAGACTGCGACTACCCACTATATTTTGGGCGTCTGTAATCGAATCTGTCAACAAAAAAAAGGTATGTTTATTCAGAGAAAGTACGTTTTCATATATGGTTTCGTAACTTAAAATATAGTCTACACTAATTAATTAGCATATTTAAGGTCTCCCCTTTGAACCAGTAAGAATGAGTCCTAGAATGTGAAGATCAGATCATTAGATCAAATGTTATTCAAAGTGGTCCTTTTTTTTTTGTTCTTTGTCAAATTCATAGGAACATCAAAATAGTTTGGGGAAAGAATATCATATAAATAAAAACTAATCATTTTACTAAAGCATTAAAAAAGGGAGTAGTATGATAAAGCATTAAAAATTGTTTTAAAAAATGAAAATGCATAACTTTTCTGAAACTGTGTACCAAAAGTGAGGCTGGTGATAAAAATTTTCATGAAACATTAGAACTAATTCTTAAAAATAAAGGGACCTAAAAATATTTCTTATTGATAAAGCAGCTCTCTTTTTCTCAAATGTGACCCAATCAGGCAATAGTCATTAAAGGCGAATTTTGTCACTGAAAATTTCTAAGTATTGATGATAGAAAAATCTAGAGCATAGTATTTGTATCTTTGTATTTGTTTTCTGTTTAAGAATTAAATACATGCTAAATAACTTATAAAAAACTGACAATTATTATTTTGATTAAAATGTTAAAAATACTATCAATTTTTCAATATCAGGAAATTTTCCTTACCTCCCTTGAAGTTCATAATATTGTGAGTTGACTATATAAGTTTTTATATAGGTAAATAAACATATTACTTCATGAAATAATTCCACATTGCTATTGAATAGGGTGAATATTCTAGTTAATTTAATCATGTTTGAGGTTACTTTTAATAATAATTTCTGTTATTCTGTGTTAAGAGAAAAAAATTTAAAAAATGCTTTTGCATTAATTTAAAAATTTTTTTTTGTTTGTTTCAGTGGAAACAAGTGTCTTTCAGAGGACTTAGAATTACAGACTGGGACAAATGCTGTCATACTTTACAGAAGCATAGAACCAAAACATTGGTATGTACTAAACAATTTTTTTTTCTGAGCAAATATTAAAATCTCTTAGCATCATAGAAATTTTATTTTTCTGTTCAGAATCCACTTTTATTGTTATAACCACTCTTATTCCCCATTAAATTTACATACCTGCCTAGTCTCCTGTTTTTTAAAGAAGGCTCATGTATTTTACAACTATCTCCTGTCTCATTGATGAAATTTTAAAAAAAATTATAATTAAATTGGCGATAAAATATCTGCTGACGGCAAAAATACTTCTCTTATTCCTCAACAGATAGTACTATTGCCAGTACTGCAGTATGTTGAGTAAAAATATCCTCAGTGGTAGACGGATCATGGGTTTAGAGTCCCCTTGCCGCCAGACTTAACTGTGGGCGTTTTTCGCGGTTTTCCTCTCCATGTAATGCAAATGCAGGTTAGTGTTTCATCACAAAATCCTCCACAGTGACAAATTTCTTCCAATACTTGATCCAGGAGTTCTTTTTGTCTTCTGGATATGGCTCAAAGTTAAAAGTCTATGTAGTTGAATATCAGTAGCCATAAACCCAAAAAAATTGTGTCAGCTGTTCAACGACGTTTATGAAATAAAATAGTTTAAGTAATTATAAATATTGGTTGACAAAATCTTTTTTAGATTAAGATTTATATACAAATTTTTTACTTCTCTAAATGTAAATGCTTATATTATTTCCAATTTTGAATTTCTCTTTTTGACTTACATGATTACGCATGATGTAAAACTTTACTAGTAGCCTAAAAAATATCTAGTAAATTCTCCGCTATTTTATTTCTCTAATGTTGGCCGGTATGAATTTGATTACAAACCTGATAGTAATTCAAAAATGTAAATTTTTTTTTCTTTGTGTCTCTTTAACTCGTCACACAATATTTTTTCCTTTGATTTCCTTTTTTTTAAATTAATGTTGAATTTCAAAACTAACTATATACTTTTTAATTATAGGATTTGTGTGATGTTATAGTTGATGATATAAATGATCCTTGGAAAGGTTTCAAAACAATTATCATGAAGTTATCTGGAATTCGGGATTTAGTAATAGACAAAGTACCTCCATCTTTGTTATATCTTATCGCTACATATATGAGTCAGTTACACAAATTGGAATGTTTCCTTACTTCAGTATTATCTGAACCAGAAATATGGTATGTTTGCACTAAGTTCTGTGTGTACAATTCATTCATGAAACAAATAATAACTTTTACCTCATTCCAGTCTTATTTACTAGTTTCGGGATTCCCAAACTATGTCACAGAACCCCAAGATTTACACCAAATTAATCAAAGTTTGATAAATATAAATTGTCCTCTTTTTTAATGAAAAATCCTTAAACCAACTTAATAATTTTAGGTTTGCTGCAATCAATAGTGAGCCTGAAAATTAAACTTTATTGGAAAGTCATATCACAGTGTAATAATGTCTATAAAAAAAATCTGTTTTTATGTATATCAATAGTATTTTTACAACTGAAGGAACGTATACTAATAGCTATAGAGATTCCGTCTATATTGATAATTTTTAGGAGCAAAATGGCTTGTTCACCAAACTTAAAGCTTTGATTTTGCCTTTGATTGCTAATTTGCAACAAAAAAATTTTATCAACAAAACAATAATCTTAGAAAAAAGGTCGCTAGAATCATGAGCTCATTATCTAAGGCAATATGATATGACCTTTAAGTATTCTTTTTTTTTGAAAAAAAAAAGTTGGGAATTTTAATGCACACAATTCAGTTTAAATAAATTTTTTGTTTCATTATCAATTTATTTTTTCATAGATAATTATTACTTTTACTCATTGGACATTCTTGGTGATATTAAAATTCAAAAATAAAGAACTAGAACGGAAAGCAAGTTATTAAAAATTGAATTTATTTTTATGATCCTTTAATTCTACTTTGTTTTCGTTTATTTATTATTAAATTCAGCAAATGTCTTATCAAATAAAACTAATTTAAAGAGGATAAAAACATAATTTGCATATTTCTTTATTAATATTTATCAGCTTTCTTTAACATGATGGTGATTTTCGTAAAAATTTGACAGTGCACTTAATCTATATTTTATAATAGTCGTTTGTCTGATTTAACCCTTTTAGAACTTTTGCATAAGAGTTATTAATGAATGTAACTTGATTTGTTGATATTTCTTAACAATTTTGTAGATTTTTGTATGTTTTCTTTTGCTATTTTCAGGTCAACACCCTGCGAGTTGGAAATTTCACGTCTTAGAAGCCTTTCAAAACTTAGTACACTGCAAATTGGGTCACTTGGAGGAATAATTTTAAAGGATATGTCCATGTACCAAATGCCGTATTTACCTAATTTAAGATATTTAGTGAGTAAATGTTAAAACCAATAATTCCGAAGTTTGCTTATTGTTATTGATTTTAAGCTTATTCTTTTATTGCAGTTTTTAAGTTATTAATTTTTTGTCTTTGAATCCTGATATTCAATATTTCAATACTATTCTCCCATTTTGTATAAAATTAAAAATCGTTTGAATTTTTCCAACAAACCAATAGTGCAACTATGGTACGCATTCTCATATCTTTGACTATTTGGATTGTCATTGGTATGCATAGAATGCAGATATTAAAAAAAAATACTTTTCTTGCAATAAAATCTTAATTTTTATATTAAACAAGTTCTCAGAAAACTAGTTTGATCAAAATTCTGTATAATGGCCGATACCGCTTGTAAAATTGCTTCAAAAAACATTTTAATTGGTACATTGATGAAAATTGTATTTTTAAATATGTAAAAATCACAACTCCATTAATTAACGCCTCTGATTTTGTCAATTTTGAAATTTTGCTATCTCCATAGCTGCCAGCTCTAATGAATTTACATGTAGACTACTTGGTTTTACCAAGTTTTTACTGGTTTAATAAAAATTTTACTAGTTTTTGTACATTTTAGAAAATTCCTCAAAATTGAGTAAGTTTCCTAAAAAAATCCCTATTGAAATAAAATAAAAAATTTATCGCTTGCTGTCTCAATTATAGTAATCAATTTAAAGCTTTTCTTTCTTTTTATGTTCTCAGTTTATTTTTATTCAGAACTCTCTTTTCTCTTACTATTCAAAATTATGAGTTAATACAATAAAAGCATTTTAAATTCATTTATTGTCAATCGTAAATGGAAAATATTACAGTCCATTTATAGTTATTAGTGTGATCAACTTTTTGTTTTTTGACTATAAAAATTCCCTATGTATAAATTATTTAGTATGCTATGCAACAGTTATAATTAAATTTGTACTATCTTGTAAAGTTTACTGGATTTTTTTCCTACATAAGTTAGTAGCTATGAGCCTCCTTTATTTAGAAATAAATGTTTACTAAGCTTTTATTTATTAAAAAATTGATCTTTAAATCAACCTTCCTGTTCTCTAATTTTAAGACATGAAAAAAGTTATAAAAAAAAACTAAAATGAATACCCTTAATTCTAATATTACTACCAAAAATTATCTCCATTACTAAATAAAAGTGATTAGCTCTAAAAATTGATGCTTAAAAATGTCGATACAGGTTGACGTCTTTGTGTATATTACTTTTCACACAATATTTCATTGATAATATTTTTATGAAAACTGGAAACTAAAGAATGGAATAACTAGGAATATATTTTTTTAAATAATTAATAGCATTGAAACTCTGGGCAAAAATATATTGAGCCTTCCCTATTACTCTTTATTTTTTTAATTGATTTACTTATTAAAAATTGGTTAATATTTGTAAGAAAATCATTAGCTTAGTTTAGGGGGATTAGGACTAATGCTTAGAGTGTGGATTCTAAAAGTCTTAAACCTTTGAGCAAAATTTTACGGAAATTTCCCTGCTTTGCTCTATTTTACCATTAAATAATACAGATAACTATTTTTGGATGCAGGAAAACCAGTAACTTCAAATCTTTAAAAAAATCTATGTCTAACTCTCAAAAATTTAAAGGATAATTAATATTCTTGCTCTTTTTTGGATTTTAACATTCTTAACTTGCTTATTTTTTTCATTTTTCAGTCATTAACTGGATTCAAATTTAACTCCGTGAAGAATCTAGAAGTATTATCTCAGAATCAAAATTTAGTGTCTCTAGAGCTTGGTCATTGCTATGATATTGAGCCTGAAGTGAGTTTTATTTATTTACCATNTTTTTTTTTTTTTTTTTTTTTTTACCATTAATGTGTTTAATGTAAAAATGCCTACTACTTTTTATGTTTTTAAATTCCATTTAATAGGATGTTTTATAACTCTCTTTCGAATCATTTAATGCTAGCTTGGTTGTTTTTGTATTTCCCCCCCCCCTAGCTTAGCCAATTAGTTAATAATTTACTAAATTATAATTTATAAAATTCTGATTATTTCTTAAATGATTAAATTGAGCTTAACTATGTTCGTACTTTATTATTGAATAATAAATAGCCGTATTTCAATCGTTTTCGTCTTTCCATTTAATTTTTCTTAACCCCTTGACATATCATTTTAAAACTCTAAACTGTGCTTGACATAACTACTATAAAGTGATGAATTATATAAGCCTACGAATTATATAGAAATAATGGTGGATAAAATCTACTAAATTGAATTTATTAATCCAAGAATCACAATTGATAAACTACCACTTTAAAATATTTATTTATTGTCCGGAGCAAGTTGGCATCTCTTGTGTTGAAGACGTCTGAGACACATAAATTATTGTTTTGACATAAAAAAAAACTAATGACGTCTTCGTATGTCAAGGGGTTAGTAAAATAGAGGGATGTATTTTTCTTTTTATTTCGCTTCCATCTTCTGTTCACTGATATGCGCATGCAATGCATTTCCCCTACCCCCCTCGTAAATCAAAGAGAAAACGAAATCAGCATGCCACTTTTTTAAGTTTGATTGGTGGCAGCTTATCAGCAAAACAGCGATTCTTTCGAAGACACAGAAGATAATTAAACATTTGTACCTTCCCTGCCCCCTTTTGATCTAAAGATCAAGTTCATGGAAGAAATATTGAAGTTTCTCTAGACAAACGGAGGAGAAAAATCCACCCTCCCCCCACATTTTCCTTTACTCAACTTCAAGGCTGAGTCAAACTTCCACTTTTTTTCCATAATCGTTTTAGTTCAAAATGGCGGGAAAACTAAGCATAGTTTTTCCCATTTTCTGGATTCCGGATAAAGGATTCTCTACTGTGTTATTTTTTTCAATAGCAATGAGTGTGTGTTTAAATTAATATCAATTGTTTGATATTGCATGTTTTTAACTTAAAACTATAAAAACATCCCACATACTTTACATTTGAGAAATATTTCTATCATTGCATTTTGTTTACATATTATTTTTTTTTAATTAAATAATTAATATGTTTATAATTAGGTTACAATTTTGAAGAATTAATATGTTTACAATTTGAATAAAAGTTATAGTAAAAGATAACTGTTTTTATTTATCGCTTACTCTTGTTGATTCTATCCTGTTTTTGTTTTTTTTAGATATATGGAATATTAAAGCAGCTGACAAACCTTGAGAAGTTACGCTTAGAAAATGGTGGGAGTGTGGATAATACTGGTCTTCCTGAAGCATTGTTGGAAATGAAACAGTAAGAAAAAAATATTTTGCAAGATTATTACTCTTGAATAAAAATAATTATGAGCACTAAAAAGAAGGGGAAGATTATTCGAACTTGACTTGATTATTTCTGAGAAATCAGCACGTAAATTGTGATGTTATATTGCAATTTTCTTTTTTGCTGATGGTGCAAAGCAGACACCTTAGGCTCAGTAATATCTCTCAGTAATAACATGGTTTCAAATTCCTGACTTGTTCATGTTTTAAAATTCATCACATTTTAAAACTATTTATTTTCGGATCCAGTTATGGTGTTATCTTTTTCCGTTTCTTTAATAAATAAAACATTGCATTTACTGTCAATGAAGAAAGGGTAATTAAATATGTTTTAAACTAATTTATAAATATTTTTAGATAAATTTACACAAATTTATATTTACTAAAATTTATTTCTGATTTGAAGAAAATTAATCTAAATAAATTTCATCACATCTTTTTTTTTTAATATAAAAATTAAATTATTATATTTTTTTTTTAGTTTCTGCTTTTAAAAAAAGTTAGGTATAATTTGGGCAAAAGTATTGAGAACACTCTCAAGAGTTTTGAATGATAGTTGTAAAAAAATAGAAATGGAGTTCAATTAAAGTTAAAGTGTAGGTATAAAAAGAAAGGGAAAAAAATTAATACTCATACAAGCATGAAAATATATTTAAATTTTGCATATCCTGCTACAAAAATTTTTATTAAAATACAAGCCATGCTTCAAGTAAAGTTCCACAATCAAACTTTTCAAGAATGTATCTACGAGAAATTAAATTTGCTAAATACGGTAACATAAAAATGTATAATGTACATTTTATATTATACCATAATCAATCACACACAATAATTTCAGTGACCTACAACACAATTCTTAATAATTCTTATTTTAATATAATTAATTCATACTTATCACTGTTTAAACAATTTTTAAATATATAGCAAATGTTAATCCACACTTTAGATTTGAAACGGTGTCAGTGCCAAAAATAAAAAACAGACCGCCCTAAATAACTTTTGATCTAAAAATCTTAACGTTCTAGAACTTAATCATAAAGGTTTGAAATGTGCTAATTAATTAGTGCAGACAATATTTTGTATTATGAAATCAGATACAAAAACATACTTTCTCTAAATAAACGTCCCTTATTTTTGATAGACTCCTATTTCCGACTTTCAAAGTATAAAGGATAGGTGCAAATTTCTGAGGATTTCTAAAGGGGGGGGGAGACACCTAAATAGCATCACAGTTAAATTATTTAAAAAAATTTAATTATTGTTTGTCAAAAAAAACTTTCATTATGTTAATCTAACTATTGAAGGGAATTTATATCTGAATTCAGATGATCTTAAACAATAATTTTAGAAAAAATGTTTTTGCTGTTTTGTTTCATTTTTAGTTTTGAGAAGTGACACCAAATATTTAAAATAATCAAAAACTACTTCTGGTATAGTTAGAATAAAAATGTGAATTGATAGAATTGTTGAACCCTTCTGAAACACTTCTTCTGAATAAAGTAATTGAAAAAAAAATTATGAGCTGTTTTAGTGTTATTAATGAAAGTTCTTCAAAGTGCTCTTTGTATAATTTCATAAATGGAACTTTAGCACACATCTGTTTGCATGAGGAAAATGTTTTTATTTTTGTGTGTGTGTTTTGCAGTAAATAATTGATTCACAAAAAATACTGGCACTTTGTCAATAACAGACCAAATAATGCCAAAGAGATATGTGTTAGCTTATGATATTCAGCATTGTTAGCAAAAATGATTTACTTCTGAAAATTTTTATTTGCGCAAAGTTTTAGTGAATAAACGTTTGAAAATGTTACTTTCTACTAATTATACAATTTATATTCCATAGCTTGATACATCTTGAATTAATGAACTATAAAATCCCACATACTTTGTCTGATACTTTAAAGCAGTTAATGGAACTTATCCATTTGAATGTTTGGCCAGATAATACAAGTGAAGTAAGCTTCTTTTATGTTTCTTTGTAAATCATATAATCAGGGATGAGTTCTGCTTTTGCGAAATCCCCCAAAAATATTCATTTTTGCACTTTTTCCTACCTAAGTAAATGTGATTTAAATGTACACATTTCATTCATATTCATGCAATTTAGTATTACACATCTTGATCTATATTCACTCTATTTAATGATACATATTACGAATTGTATTCATGTGACTTAAAAAGCACTTGTCAAGATTCGTGTTTAAATAATTTTTGTTAAGAAATAAGGGGGAAAATTGTGAGTTGTTTACATATTGCAACTTAAAATTGCACATCCTGAGTACATCGTAATAGATCTGTATTCACGCAATTCATTTTCACACCATTTAAAATTGCATTTTAAAATTCATATTCACATTGATTTAAAACTCTCACATTAGCGGGGTTGTCATCCACCTGGAATTATCAGGGAATTTTTTTATTCGGAAAAAAACAAATTTGTGTAAAACCTTTGAAAAATCAGGGGCTTTTTTTTCTACAATTTTCTGAATTTCACTATTATTTTACCATCCATTTTACTCTCTTTTTTTAGATGGAAATTTACTGCCTAACGGTTGAAATGTTGCCAACTTAGCAACACTTTGCTGGCATAAAAAATTGCTATATTTTTACCCTGTTAAGCTAATGTATTTTCACCCTGTAAGCCTCATGAAATAGAGTTGGTTGAAAAAATGAATTTTTGAATTTTGGTATGCTTTAGTTCGGAAATGTTACCTATTGTAAAAAGAATAAAATTTGGCATGAAAATTTTTTAAAACTATTAATATCTTCAGTTAACACATACTTAAAATTAATTAAAACTTAAAATTAATGATGAAAAATTGAACCTTTGTAAAAAAAAAATTTTAAAATTCAGTTGGTTAAGACTTATGAAATAAACATGCTTTAGTTTTTTTATGCTTGTTGAATGATTCAAATGCCCTAAATAAATTCAATTTTGATCAATTATTTAATTTTTTACAGTCATGCAACATTTTAGAAAAAACCTAGGTACACCAATTTTTCTAAATTTTTGAAGAATATCTCTTAACACATTATGCAAAATCAGAACAATCCTGGAACTCACCACTAATGTGATAGTTGCATGACAAGTTCCACCTACACCCTACCCAACAAACCATCCAATTTTTGATTTCGTTTTTACACTATATTTACAACTAGTTACAAAAATTTTTAATGGACTTGCATCTTGCTAAAATATTACAGTTTTTGTTTATGCCTAATGCATATTTAAAATTTGATTATTTGAAGATAAGAGGCTGAACTGATCTAGATCTTGGTGTTGCTAATATATATCCATCTCTAGCTTCATGTTCACATATTTTATTCTAGCTGATGTAACAAGTTTGGTGCATCTTTCTAAAGCCTAGGACTTATGGAGTAACTAGTATTTCTCTAATGCACATGGTGTCGGAATAGATCAGTGATTTAATATCATCTTCACTTAAATCTCTGAGCGTTAGGGGAGAATATACCTCTCAAGAATTTTAATTAATCTAGAGCATTTGAAGTTAATCTTCAATAGTAAAAAATTTGGTCTTTGCAAAAGTTTCCTATCAAATTACAATATCTGCTGTACATTTTAATTTCAATCACTTTGGGCATTGCCTAGAAGTCTTGAAAAATCACGATCCAGTTCCTTTGTCCAACTCCTGACTGCTAACTTTTGTCAACCAAGTCCTTAGGTTGTATATAGGAAAGATCTTAAAAGGTAGTTCCAAAGAGAAAAACTGTTAGAAATTTTGAACTGTCGGATTACTTTGAAATCATTCATTGGTGTGGTATATCCTTCCTCAATGCTGCACGACTTAAATGAGAAATTCACACATTTAAATCGCACATTGTGCTGACACTGCACGCATTAGAGAAATACCTAACTTTCTCTCAACTCTAAGGCTGTGTCAAACTTGTGGCAGAACTTCTAATAAAATATGCAAGCATGAAGCTAGCGATTGATGTATCAGAGCAACACTGTCTTTATCTGTTTCGCCCCATTTCTCAAAAGAAATTAGGCTTTAGGTATTAAGTAGATAAAAAAAAAAATGAACCTAAATAATGCAGTAAGCCAAAGAATCCTACTACATTAAAAATCATTGTATATAGCTGTAAATATAAAATAAAATTCCCTACAAAGTTTGGTTGGGTCGAGTGTTGGCAGAACTAGATTTGCAGCCATCTTCACGCAGTAAGATTTAGGTTGTTCTAATCTAGAATATTGAGTGAAGAGATATGCAGTGAAAATTACAAAAAATTGGTAAACTTCTGGGGGGGGTTCCCTAAAATGCTAGAAATTTAAATTATTCATCAGAATTTAATTTATTTAGGATATTCATAGCATTAAACAATCATTAAAAAAGTAAAGCACTATTTTTTCTAAATTTTAAGTGTGCTGCATGAAAGAAAGATAATTAGCGTTTTTATTCTCAAAACAAACAGCAACTTTTCCACACTAAAGTGTTGAGGAAAAAAAAAGAAGAAAAAAAAAAACATTTTTTTAACCCACTCTAGCGTGAAACTCTTGCATGGTTGCTAAATCCTTGAAGAAACTTTGACCTCTGTAGAGATGCGGTTCATGAAAGGCAATGAATGTGGTAGGGCAGGAGATGGGATTAGGATATTTGCTCCGGTTCAAAACCAGGAGATTTTCTTTTTTGTCTTCCAGTCCCTGGATCAAAAACATTTTTCGTTGAAGTTTATTCCCTTATGCTTTGGGAGTATTTTTTTTCTTTTGACAATGACTCCAAATATTGTAGTATATTTTATTTTATAAAGTTCTCAAAACATTATTTCGGCATTACTCAATAACAATAAATTTTATTTCACACTCTTATTCTGAAAGCTTTCGTACTCCTGCCCAATGAAATTGTCGAATTATTTTCTACTCCTCCAAGCCAACCAACCACACATCTTTTTCTTAAATTGCTAACAACAATGTCTGTATACAAATCATTACAATTGTTGCATGGATGTTAATTTTCTCGATTTTATTATAACTTTTTAACATATTTTAATTTTAAAAGGGTTCTTTTAAGAACCAACTATGTTTTGATAACATTCAATTTTACTGTTTTGTTGGTAAATATTTGATTTTCGATTCAAATTGTGAAGCCAGTCGCAATGTTGAAAATTAATGATTGTTGCGTATACTCCGAAAATATTTCCTAAATTGTTTTTCTTTTTTCCCTAAATCCTGGAAAAAGCAAAGTAATTTATGAGTAACATGTTAAATGATGTATATATATAGAATATGAAGAAATTTATTTATATGTGTTTATTAAGAATAAGGAAAACAAAACTTCTTTCTTTTTCTCTGCACTCTACAGGTACATGTTTTTAGTTATAAAATTTAAAAAAATTAATTCATCTAAAATAAAAAAGCATGTGGCAAGATTGCAATTCTTTAATTATTTTGATTTCAAATAAAAAAGCAAAAAATAAAATGTGAAGAATATATATTTCTCTATAGAGAATGCAACAAAATATTCGATGATTTTGCAATTAAAAACTGAAAAGCTCTGCAAATAATAATATTAATTCAAAATCAACATTATCTAAACATTTTACTTTAGATATTGGTTTGAAGAAAATATGATCAAGTTTTGACAACTACCCCAGCTGCTACATGGTGGTCCAGTTTTAAAAAATATGCAATAGATGAAAGTTTCACAAATCTTGCTTGTTCCTTGATGGCAATGCCTGTTAGTTCTGCTGGACTTGAGAGAATCTTCTCAAATTTCTCCTTTGTGCATAGCAAATTGAGAAATTTATTAGGTTTATAAACTGCATCAAAACTTGTCTTTTGTTATAGATTACTGCAGACTGCAAACAATATAATATTTAATTTTGAACGGTGATAATTTTGTAAATAAATGGCACTTTGTTTAACATTTAATTGTTTTTTCTATGAATTATCCATTGTATGTCAATCTCAGTACTTTTGTCATTTTCTGAATTTCTGCCACAAATGTGGCAGAAACCGGTTTCTGCCATGCCGGTTTTAACCACCTCTGCAGAAACGTGCCAACATTGCTAATGAGTTACCAGCGATCATAATAAGGCGATTACAACTTTTTTTGTTGATTTTTATTTTAAACTTTTTAGTTCAGGGATTATTTCATTTATTCATTATTATTATTTTTTTAATTCTTAACTAGATTCTTGCACCTCCTTCCTGAAGAATTAGTTCTTATTGGACAGGAAAAAATTATAGGCAAGAAAATGAAATGCCTTTTTTTTTAAAAAAAAAAAAAACTTAGATATAAATTTATTTTATTTTTTTATACTGACTTTGTTGAATAAATAATTATATGACGTGACTATGGTTTTTATAGAATGAGTTCTTATTCTTTCAGGGTCCATTAGTTAATCATAATCTGTTCCAAGCTATTTCAAGTTGCAAAAGACTGAAATATATTTGCTGGGGAATCATCTCTGAAGTGGAGGATGCAAATTCTCAAGTCCTAGAAATGAAAAGTGTTGAACAGGCTATTAGCACACAGCTTACTTTTAAGGAACTCTTTGACAAATTGGTGGAATTCTCTTCTGGTAAGGTAGAGGTGAAATGCGTACACAGGTCTACATGGAAAGAATTTTGTTATGCAAGAAAATGATTCAGTCACTTTATTTTACTGATGAGACAAAATTAATCTTGTTTGACTGAGAAAACATATAATCAGGATTTTGTTTGAAATAAAGGTGGAATAAAATATTCGGAGCAACTTACATTTAAGGAGCTCTTTGACAGATTAGTGAAATTCTCTTCTGGTAAAGTGGATGTAAAATGCATATGCAGAGGTCAATGTGGAAAGAATTTTGTAATGGAAGAAAATGATTTACTCCATATATTTTACTATTGAAAAAAGAGGAATCATGTTTTACTGAGAGAACATGTAATTAGAATTTAGTTTGAAATGAAAGTTCGCTTGCTTTTCTGCATGGCAGCTTATTGTACCATAAGAATTTAATTTCTTATCCTCACTAAGTTTTTTTATGTGATAGATTTTATCTTTCCTTCAAATATTTTTTTATTGTGCACTCATTTATGTAATCATTTTTTCAATCTATCATTTTCATTGTATATTTACTATTTTGCTTTTGCTAAATAAATCTTTTTTTACTGCTGTTGTTCAGATGTATGCAAGATAATAGACATACTTATGCTTGTTGGTGTAAATAATGTGTGTTGTCTTACCTTGTTAATGTTTTTATTAATCTCACTGCATATTAGAGTGGCCCGGAAAAAAACTTTTTTTTTTTTCCACTATAGCTAAATTACAAGAAATCCTAATCTAGTATGTAAAGGAAAAAATTATTACGAAATGTTTTATTTCACATGTCAACTTTAAAATTTATTTAAAAAAGGAGAAGAAAAAAAAATTTTTTAATTAAAAAATTTATGTGCAAATGCTTAATATTTTTAAAAAAAAAAGTAAGTCTCTAATTTAGTTTTTATGTGTCAGTTTAATACTGGGACTTTGTGAAGAACAGAAAATTGGTAGTAAAATGTTTCATTTGTAAAACCAATTTTTTCTTTTCTATACAACTTTTCCATACTATAGTGATTGGGAAAAAGTGTGTTTTCAGATCACTCTAGTGCATAGGAATTTTTTGTTCCTAAGAAATTATTGTGTACATAATGAAATTGTAAATAAAAACTTCTGGTATTATATATGTTTTCTTGTTTCTAAATGAATTATTAATCAAAAAATAAATGAAAGTATAACACAACAGTATCAATAAAGAAAATTGATAATTCTGAGAAATGATATAAGTTATTTTTTTTATTATTATTAAACAACACCTAAGCGTAAATTATGCAGGAAAGTTGCGTTCATACAGATATTTTAAATTATTTTGGTTACAGCATAGTGTAACAAGTTTTAGATTTAAAAATGGACAGCATTTTTTTCCTGAGCTATAACAAAAAAAAAAGTTTTGTTTTTATGTGTTTAATTGAAAGTGAAAACAATTTTGCTATCGTATTAATTTTCTATTGGTTGTAAACAGTTTAAAGACAAATTTACCAATTATTTAGATAAAATAAAAGTATTAGAAGGGAGTTTATCAACTAAAAAATCAGACACAAGTAAAAGTACTGAAGCAAAAAATGTGAATAAAGCACAAATGAAAGTTGGGTAAACTAGCCANAAGTTGGATTCATACAGATATTTTAAATTATTTTGGTTACAGCATAGTGTAACAAGTTTTAGATTTAAAAATGGACAGCATTTTTTTTCCTGGGCTATAACAAAAAAAAAAGTTTTGTTTTTATGTGTTTAATTGAAAGTGAAAACAATTTTGCTATCGAATTAATTTTCTATTGGTTGTAAACAGTTTAAAGACAAATTTACCAATTATTTGGATAAAATAAAAGTATTAGAAAGGAGTTTATCAACTAAAAAATCAGACACAAGTAAAAGTACTAAAGCAAAAAATGTGAATAAAGCACAATTGAAAGTTGGGTAAACTAGCCAGTAAAGGAACACTTAAGCATAGCTTGTCTTTAAAAAACTGTAATTTTAGGTTAATGACAGTGTCAACATATGTTATTAAATGCAAATTATGGGGGGGGGGGATTTCAGAGAACTTAAATAATATTATTTAAAACTTTTGGTGATTCAAATAATAGTAAAGATAACTTAGTGAATGAACACTAAATGTTACAGTTGATGAATTTATAAGCCATATAAATACCTGAAAACAAGATCTTCCTTGGAATTATAACATATAACCACAATTAAAGTCGAAAATTTTACTTTTTTTTTTCCAGTTGTGTCATGGAAAATAAAGTGGTTTTGAATACATGATTAAAAAAAAATTTCATTTTCTTTCTTACAATTTGATATTTGAGTCTGAATCATGAATGTAATTCATAGTGTTATCTAATGTTTTTATTATTATTTTATCACATTTGTTTACTCTTTTTTCTTTTAAGTTTTATTTCTTGCTTCAATTTACCATACCGCAGTTTTTCTGAAGTTAATGCAAAAGGTAATTTATTCCTTTTTTTTTTAATTTGGCATTTTTCTTTTTTTTGCAATATTTGCCCAATGTAAATAGTTCTTCCAAATTTCTTCTGATTTTTCAGTAACATTTCTATAATTTTTCACTGAATAACAGACGGAAGAAAGGAGGTTCAAAGTCTTCTTTCGATTACTTATATCTAGTGAATCTTCAGTTACCATTTTCTGACTTTGATTACTTACAGAATCATATGTTTTTTCTACTAACAATGCCTCAAAAGGACTTATCTTAAAATTGATATCCAAGATACATTCATTATCATTCTTAGTTGTTTCAACTTCAGTGCCAAAGTTTGGCTTGCACGATTCTTCGATATTGAGAAGAACTCAGACTCTTGGGTGTTTGGTTAGATTCGTTAGTCAATATTGCATTAAAAATTTGCTACATATACTCATACATTGCAATACTTTTATTTTCGTTACTTTTAATGGAAGTAAAAAGTGCGTACTTTTACCTGTACTCTTGTTTTTGCTTTTCATTACTTTTTTTTTGGAAAAAGAAGTATTTGTAATGAATGTGCCAAACTTTTTTCTGAAATTTTAAATTATTTTTATTTTCACATTGTATACCCTAAGGAAAATACTCTTTTTTTCCCCCTTTCTTTTCTGACCATAAAGGGGGTGCAGAGGTCGAAGATCACAGAAACTAACAACCACCCCACCTGCTTGATCAACAAAAATATTCTGGTAGAACCTTCTGTTCTTGGTTTAAAAAAAAGTTTTTATTTTAAGAGAGCTTTAGCAGAAACAGCTACAGAAGCATCCTCCTCTAGAGGTGATGTATGTATCTTTTCTGACCAATGGAACAATATATTTCATTCAAATGTCACTGGATCATATCTTTATTGCTTCTGGGAAAGTGTTGACAGTCTCCTTTCTGAGCGTCTCGTTTTCTTCTCATGATCCAAACTCAAACTTCTTCCTGTGGAAACTTTCTGGGTGTTCTTTTTCTTAAAAATCTAGATAAATCTAATCATAAACCACAGAGCAACCTCGCACTTCAAATGAGCTCACCAGATTTTTGGTCATCCTGCCATTAATTTTGCATGTGGTCATCACTAAAAGATACTTTCCATCAAGCCATCTTGTCCCTTTTTTGGTACGTTAAGAAAATATTTACTTTTTTTAATGGTCAAATGCAATTATTTATGTATGCATAAATAATTTATTGTGCTATCTATAAAAGCTGAATAATTGAATTATTTGAGTCTTTTATAATTAAAAAAGTTCTGTTTAAACTTTTTTTTTTCAAATTATCACACTATTATTAAATTTTAAAAATAGATTTTATTTTATGGATAGTGAAGGTCAAAGTTATGGGCCAAAAAATAAATTAAAATTTTTTAGCTTTTCCCTAATTTTTAATTTGTTAAATATAATTAAAATAACTATAATGTTTAAAATTATTGAGATATCTACTTGGCTTATTGCTGGAAAAAATATCCACTTCAGTAAATGTTTAAAAAATTTATGATCGTCATTTAATATGTTAAGTCGCAAAATGACAGTCGTTTTAACATCTTTCTACTATTTTGTATAGATTATCTGAAGATCTTTGCAGCTAAATAGTTTCTGAAACTGAATAATTTGTCTCAGTTTGTTTTTGAGTGCTTAAATATTTTGAGGTTTGTAATATATTTTTAAAATGTTGCTGCGACCATCCACCCTGAATAACTTCTTCTAATCAAATATTCAACAGAACTGATTCTGCAATATTTCAATTTTTTGGGAAGAGAAAAACTACTATTGGCGGCACTTTTTTTTCGTATTTTTAAAAATTAACAAAAAAGCTTCTGAAATTTTTTTCACAAATTATTTAAATTTATTTATCTATTATACAACTAGTAGTTGAGGAATGTCAAGTAAAAAAAAAGTACATAAATAATACACGCAATGTTTCATTCAATCATTGTACAATTAAATAAAAATAATTTTAAAATTAGCTATGCTTGTAAAATTTAAAAAAAACATTACATAATAATAAATAACATTAACATAATCATTCACAGCGAATATTTGCTTAATTTTAATGTAAAAAATGAAACCTAAAATGTGTATACAACAAAAAAGATCACAATGTAAAAACTTAACTTATTTTATTACAAAAATAAATATGTACATTTCTCATTGAGTTGCTTTAGTTGAAGAAGTTACTTTTTTCTTATCTTTCTTCTTTAATCCATCCATATTTCCTTTAATTAAATTGGCATAAGCCTGCAATTTTTAAAAAGAATATTAACTTAGAAATAAAAGCAAACAAAATAAGCTATGCAATTAATAGTTATATTAACAAAGGATAACTAAAAAAAAAAATAAGCTGACAATTGATAATTAGCAACAAAAAAAACAAGTTAACGAGGAATCACAAAAAATAACAATTAATGTTTAAAAAACTAATAATAACTATAAAATATAGACAAAAAATAAAATAACAGTTAATAACTAATAAAAAAAACTATTAAATGACGCGAGAGAAAGAAAGCAAAATAAGAATTGCACAAGTCATAAGAGCTGGCTGACACGCCGATTCCTTCACCTTGGAAACTAATTCATCTCCAAACAAAAACCCCACTTTCTTCATTTGCTTTACTGAGAAGACATTTTTAGGATCAATTCATTTAAACATGAAAAAACCCTTAAACACGTTTTCAGATAAAATTTTCTTATTATACAATATTTATATATAATTGAACGCACATTTAAACTGTAATTAATTAAAAGATAAAAATATATTATATACATATAACTGGTTGGATTCCAAAAACAAATAACTTTATGAAAGAATAAAATTCAGGAAAGCAATTTGAAAAAGTTTGAGTCTGTCCCAATAGATATTAATAAAACCATTCATAAAATTGTTATTGACCATTTAACAACATTAGAGGAGAGAATTGTTCATTATTTCCCAAATTTAGATCGAAAACAAATTTTATTGGGTTCGTAATCCATTTGTGATAACGAATACTTCTGTATTTGAATAAAGAGGAAGAACTAATTTCGCTTTCTAATAATTGAGATCTAATTTTAAAATATTCGAAAGAATCCATTAATTCATTTAGGATTTATTAGCATTAGATTTGACTATCCCATGATAGCCAAAAGAGCTTTAAAAATATTATTACAATTTTCTACATTTCATTTTTGTAAATTCGGATTTTCAATATTAACCAACATAAAAACGAAAAAAAGATGGAGACTGTTAAATGTAGAAGACAATATGAGAGAAGCACTATCATTTTTACGACCAAATATAAATGAAAACATCAAGCTCAAATTTCTCATTAAAAGTATACTTATTATTAACTTGTAATTAATCCCTTAATAGATACACTTTTGTTTAGTACATATTATTTTATTTTACATTCAAAACTATTATCACAAACGACTTTTAAACTTATTTTTTTCTTTGTGTGCAATCAAATTTCGAAATCGTCAAAAGTGTGCCACAACAAAAAAAGGTTGAGAATCACTGATTTAGAATATGTGAGTATTTTCCAGTCCTATAGCCTATCTTGGTGAATAAATGGAGCCTTCAACTAATTTAAATAAAATTCGTCTTTTATTCTTTCTTAGGTCAGACCTTCGAATTCTCCCAAAAGTGTATTCATTATTTGCAAGTGACTGGAATCAACTCTAATGAATTGAAGGATAATTGAAGATATTATATAAACCAAACAGGAAAAAATTAGATTTTTTTTTATTTGTAAAAAGCACTACTTGCAAAGGTTAAACTTTAAAATTGGAAGGCAGATTTTAATGATTCTTGTTAAATAGACATTAATGTAAATTTAATCATTTTTTTTCCTTTGTCACAAAATTATCTTAAATTAATCTAAGCCAGTGTTTCAATATATAGGAAAACACAAATTTAAAGAATACAAATATCAATTAGTTTAATACATCCACCATATTACTTACCAACTGAAATTTGTTCACATCTTTGCAACTAACCTGTAATAATTTAAAAATAATTATTCTTTGTTGAAATAATAAAAAAATAATTTGACAATACTGCATGTTTCATAAAAGTA